AGATGGGAAATGTTTCTCAAACACGATTTTCATGAAGATAATGCTCATGGTTTTCCTACCTAACTTTGTCTTCTCTTTTTGGCTCCTTTTCCCTTCCATTGAGAGTTCCTTCCAAGATCAAACTTGATCTAGGAATTGATGAGGAAGACTTAGTTGCAGAGGATGCTGTCCAGCCGGCTACAGAGGAGCCACCATTAGAAGGTGATGATGATGCATTTCACATGGAAGAAGTTGACTGAAATAACCAATGCATTCCATTTCAAGGTTAAAATTCTCAAGGTCTGTTGTAGTCTTTGATGACCATTCTAAATCCAGTTGTGGGCACCAAGTGACCATTATTTATATGTGAGCCTTAACACTGAGTCAAGCTATTCACAGAGAGAAAGAGATGGGAGTATGATAGTACAATCCTTCACAGATGTCCAGAGTGTCCACAAAGTCCTGTTAGCCCATATTTTTTTTTCTACAGTGCACTGACCAACAACTGAAAGCTATGGAAGAATGATGATAATTATATTTAGAAGTACTGTATTGTATTTAGTACAAGTGTTTAACTGTATTTAAACTTCCAGAGGGTCAATGTGAGCGCCATCATTTTCAAGGCAGTTAATGATCCATCACCATGTTCGGTGTGACATCTTCTGCAACATGATGGAGTGACGAGGCGAAATCCATCTCTGACAGCTTGTTTCAGCTCCTCTGTAGTCTCATATCTTTGTTTTGTAACGGTGGGGTAAGAGCACTTTGTGGACACAATGTAGGTTCTAGAAGGGGCTTCTGGATTGAGATCAGGAGTGAGAACACTGGTTGATTTTCATCTCCCTAACCCAGGGTGCCAAGACAGCTCAATACAGATCAAATATTAATCTGCAATCTTCAGACTGCAGCCTAGTGCAGACGCAATGGCCTCTACCTGTTCAGCCATTGCGAGCTAGACAATTTTCTTTCATATTCAGATCTCTCAGGAAGATAATTGAGGAAGTTGTGATCAATGGGACCCAGCAGGAAGACTGACACATTGAACAGTTCCAGCAAGACAGGAAAGTGATTGTAAGTAAAACCAAGCATGAACATTAAAATATAATAGAAATGTCAACAATGGGAACAAATATTTCACACTTCACAGAGTAAGGTTAGGTTGATGTTAATGTAGGGTTCAAAAGAGCTCAGTCCATTGTGAAGCAAAGAATGGTAAGTCTGGTATACAATAATATGGTTCACAGTAACTATGATTTAGAAGTTAAAATTGTAATACAGCATATTGTTTCGGACTAGTCTTTGATGCAACTATTTAATAGTTTTTTTGCCATAATCTGTGTCTTAAGTAGTATTCAGTGACGTAAACATTGTTGGGTTTTATTCTCTATTTTCTCTGGTGCTGGATTTACTTGGTACAGAATTTCTGCAACCCTATTTAGGAAGTTAGTAGATTCCCTTTAACATAGAGCTGCAATTTCAAACAGTTTTGCATCCTACCTACATCACAGCACTGTTTGAAAGCTTCTCAAGAACGGTTGTTAGTGCTGGGAACTGGAGCACATTTCCCCCACACTTTAGTCACAACTATTCTTCATATATTTTAGGACAGATTTTTAAAATTTTATTAAAACCGACAATTCTTTTCCTGGTACATTTGTACTGGAAATAATATGAATGTTGTCAATTGAGAGCTGGATAGAAATGAGTTCAAACTCTAAATCCAGGCTGTCAGTAGGTCTGCTTTCCCTCACCTCTGTAATATTGCCCGCTTTCGCCACTACCTCGCCCTAGGCTACCGAAATCCTCAACCACACCTTCATCACACCCAGGCTCAATTGCTCCAAAACCCTGGTTGCTGAACTACCCAGCAGACCACCCAGAACTCTGCAGCCTGTGCTCTTCCAGACCAGGCTTCACAAGCCTATCATCACCATTCTCTCAGATTCATCGGCTCCCCATCCTCCAGCAGATTGAATTCAGGATTCGTAACCTCACTTTCAAATATCTCTGTGGTCTCTGTGACATCCTCTAACCCTACCGCTCAGTCAACACTAGTTTGGCTTCATCACTCCTGCCCGATCCGTCCCCACTATCAGTGGGCTAGCCTTCAGCCGTTTTGCCCCCGCTCTCTGGAATTCCATTCCAGAGTCCCTTTGCCTTACCATCTCCTTGGCGGCTTTTAAGACCATGCTTTTGGCTACCTTTTCCTTTGCCTCCTCAGCGCCTCCTGGCTTGTGTGCAGCAAGCCTTGAGACATTCTCCCAAGGTGAAAGGCACTATATAAATAATAATAATAATCCTTACCGTTGATATAGTTCCTTTTTAACTGTTTTTGCATTCAGATGCCTATTGCTCCTTTACTCTCCCATCTGTCTCCTGGAGACTGTTCAACTGATTTATTAACACAAACAGCATTCTCCTGCGAGGCAAAATGCAGCTGTGAAAAATGGGCTAAAGGCAATTATTATTTCAGTTTAATACACAGATCAGTCAGGAGGTTATTTAAATAGTACTGTTGCCTGTGGTCTTGGCACATTTAAGTCAATACTGGACATGATATTGATCATGATATTGATAACAATCTAGTTAACACTATTTGATTCAGATCCTATTTGACACAATAAGGTCTGGTACCATTTGTAGGCACAGACTGGTTGCATTCCTTAAATTGAATACTTTGCATTGTTAGTTGGAAAGCTGAAACAAAAGAAAATGAAGGAATAAACATTTGCAGCTATTTCAGTTTTGCCAATGAGAGTTTTCTATGGCAATTAAAGAAACATCCATGAAATTGATCGATGGAAGGAGCAGGTTTCATGGGTTAAATGGAGTCTGCATGCCATGTTTTTTGTTTTCTTATGAGAGTTCTTCATCCTAAAAGTTTTATTTGAATAAAGTTTTGTCTATCTTTAATATCTTCTATGGGACATTTTTTTCCCATGCTTAAAATAGTTATTTTCCCTCTCTTTAAGGTTTCCCATATCACTAATGATCCAACAGCTTGTGTGTTTGTGTGTGGAAGGGGAGGGTGTTGGGGGTGCAGAGAGCTCCTATGGTGCTGCTAGCATGCTTCTGTGAAACTCTGGAACTCTCCCCCTCAATCTCTCTGCTCTTACACAGCAGTTACCAAGCTACACAAGGGCATTCGCTGTTCCAGCCAGGTCTCCTACCACCTGGATATGGAGAGCATTTGCCATTCCTCGCATCTGCAAATGTTCCCATACTACCAGCTAGTATATTTTTAAATTGGAGGGAGGAAGAGAGAAGAGGGAGAGTTAATATTTGGCTCATTTTGCAACACTTTTCTTGTATCCTTTAACGACTGAATTAATAAATTCATTGAAAGGAGCTAACTCAGTACAGAGTGGCATTCATATCTGCAACCTTCTGGTCTGTATGGTTTAATATACAGTACACAGCAGCTCCTTTACCCACTTGATCATTGGGTGGACTTGCTTAACTAAGATTAGTTTTCATCCTAAAAATAATTTCCCCTTCACCCCATCTACTCAGTGTTCAATTGAAAACAATTGGGAACATTGTGTAAACATTTAGGAACTTCAGTTAATGTTTTCCAGATTAATCTTCGGACTGACAATAAATATGATTCCTACTTTATGATTACAGTTACCACGTGTTGCTGTACTGAAGTTGATACAATGGTGCTTATCATTCAAAAAGCCACTGCAATCTACAGCTGATAAAAGCAACAGTGGAAACATTAGTCACACTCACGCACATCAACTGCACCACATATTTCCTGACACTCCATACCTCCCAGAGGTATATAGGATTCTTGTGTGGAGGTAATAATCATTAAAGTGTCAGAGGTATAGCAGGATTGCACAGAGTATAGAGTTACATGTGTGAGACATTGTGGTAAATGTATGTTTGCACATATATATTTTATATATGTGTATAGATAGACACACCTCTGTACTGTCCTTGCCCAAACTCAATATCTCCCTAAATCAGTTCCCCGTTTCACCCACAGATAATACTATATTTAGATTATGTACATAAATTGCGTACATGTGTATGGAGGTTGTGGGTATGGGAGGGATATAGATGTGTGGGAGCTATATAACCTGTCTGTGTGTTCAGGTGGATGTTGAATCCCATGGAACTATTTGAAAAGAGAAGGGAGTTTCACCCAATGTATTCACATCATGGCTGGTTGTGATTCATTGCTCTGAGCAAAAATTGGCTGCTGCGTTCACCTACAAAATACACAGTCACTTCATTTTACAGAGAACATCATAAGGTGCTTTGAGATGGTTTGATGTGATAAAGCGCTACATCAAATGCAAGGATCATTATTATTGCCATAGAGGATCTAAGTGTCTGAGTGCAAGGGATGTGTATGGGGGTTAAGCTGTACATGTGGAGAACATAGATGTGGAGTTTCTTGAGCACTTATGTGGAAATATAGATGTGTGTGGGATGCACAAGACTATGTGTGGGTCATATAAATTTGTGTGGGGGGAAATTTAGGGGTGTGCTCACACTCCACATATCATATACCCCTATATTCCCCACACACCTTGGCTGTACTATGACTTTTCTAATAAGGAAAGTTTCCTCTCTACCTCCTCCAATCCCTCCCACACAGCGGTGTATACTGTTCCAGAGAGAGAATGGCCATCTTTCAGACTTTGTGTGAATCTAGACTGTATGCTGGTAGGGTACCTGATTATTGGGATATCAGAGATGCCTTCACTCCTATACGGAAGTAATAACTGAGATTCCAAACTGGCTCCATGAGGTGGAGTGTGCATCCATGCTCTCAGCGCTTGACATGAGAAGTCCCTGAAAGGAGCCAAGCAGGAGAGCTCCGGTCTTGTCAACATTCAACTGGAGTTAATATTATATTAACGAACACCGGGTTAATATTATCAAGTTCAACTCTTATATGTATCAGGTATCTACTAGGTTCCCTTATGATGAATTGAAGCAATCATTTTATGTGCCTATTTCTCTTGTTCAAAGGTCATAATGATAAGAGCTAATCAAATACATGTACCTGGAACACAGTGTTTCACTTGAGGACCAGTGGGCTCGGGAGAAGAATGTTCCTCCAGTGGCTTTTGCTGCTGAGCCTGGCAGCAGCTGCTCTTTCTCTGTCACCTGTTGAGCAGGAAGCCACAGCATTCTTGAAAGAATTTGACACAAAGTCTCAAGATCTGGTTTACAAGAGCTCACTGGCCTCATGGGAATATAACACCAACATCACGGATGAAAACATAGACAAAATGGTGAGTACTCTGATGACCACACTACCACTGAGTCTGTCGAAGTGAATAACTGTGTTACCTTGTGTTCTGTAATGACAAGTTGGTGTGATACCCAAAAGATATTTTTCAGTGCAGGTATTAGTAGGGGAAGGCTGTTTGATGCTGCATATGCTGTACAGGTACAGATTCACCCTCTGCTACCTTGTCTGAACAGCATCCCTGGAGATCTAAATTGCAAGATTCACAAAAGGATTTGCCAATAGCAGATTCCAGCTGTATTGCGGTCAAGCCTGGAATACTGACTTCACAGAAGGCAGAAGTTAAAAGAGTATTCAAAATTACTGCTGCAAACAGAATAATGGCAGTAAATATAGTTATAATAGGCTACTTGCTTATAAGACATTTTAATTTTAACCATGGACTAAAAATGACATGCATTTTCATAGTATACAGAGAATAAGAATTAAAATAAAACAAATGTTACCTGACCTGTTGAACGACTTCAGATATAATTGATCTAATGTATTTAACAAACACAAATTGGGTATGTGGATGGCTTTGTCTCCATAGAGCAAATGTGATGCTTCAGGCTGAAAATAATTCTGCTCTGTTCAGTAAGTTTAGCAAATGTGTCCCTGTGTGCTTATTAATAACCATAATGTAACCTTAATTGTATACTTTCATTTACACTTACAGTATCATATTGCTCACAGAGAAAAATATAATTCAAGAATTCTGTATTTTCCCCAGGATTACCCATTCCTTCACATCTAAAATGTGATGCGCATTATCTTAAATGATCTTTACATCTGTATATCACCTTACCTATATACTGTACATTTCCCGCAATGAGCAGTAAAACATGCCTTGCACTTGAAGTAGCTTTTGTACCTCAGGTTATGAATACAGGATTGGACAAATGTTAGGACCATTGGGGCTTTGGCTTACAGGGTTAACATGAGCTGAGGGAAAGAATCCCTGTTAGACTAATGTTAATGTTATCATTAGTAGAAATGCTGCAAATATGCTTATCAGACCTCAGTAAAAGTTGACTCTGAACTTGGCTTCAGTTAAAATGGCACCAAACGGCAGCATAACAGGGTCCCTAGGCCACCTGTCACTGAAATATGCACGACACAGCTGGGGAAGGCTCCTGCAGCTGTTGACTTGGTTTCTATAGAAGGAGAAAGTGAGCAAGAGAAAGAGAGAGAGAGAGAGAGAGAGAGAAGCTGACATAGCACTACACAGGCCTCCAGTCAGCAAAACACAGAGTTGCAGCGTCAGTGAATCACAAAGGTCAATCTTTTATGGTTTCGTGTCTGGTGCAAGAAGTCATAAAGATATATTTTGACAACTCTGGCAGTACAGATTAGCAATATTGAGAAAGTAAATCGAAGTACAGTTGCAACATGAAAACATCACCAATAGCGATCTATATAATCTTCATTTTTCTTTTCTTCCCTTCAATAACACATGTTTCTATTACTGTGATGTTTTTGCCTGCAGAAATAATAACCTCATAAATTTCTAGGAATCAAAAAGATTCTTGGAAAATTTGCCAAACGTTTATTACTATGTTTGTTAAACCCCTGGGAATGTTTCTGATGTGAAAGATATGAAAGCAGCTATATAAATGCAAATTTGAATTGCATTGTAAATCTTGAAAAATCGTGGTTTAGAACCATAACATGTGTCTCCAGCTGACACACCAGGCAGGTAAATAAACTGTTGGCACTGCTTTTGATGACAAAGTGAATAGAAGAAGAAAAGCCTTTGTTCATATACCACCAGATTTTTAAAATTATATCAACTCAACCCTTCTGTCAAAACAAACACTGAATTATTATTGGTATACGTTTATGTTTTTGCAGCTAAACTGATGTATTGCCCCCAATGGCTTAGTGAGTTTATTCAGTGACTAATGAACTGTGGAGATGAGATTTTGATCAGTATTCAGATAGCTGATCTCAGCCAGACACATGTTAGGGCCACAACGATCGGTCTGAGTGGACCTCACTAGATTATGGATGGGAAGATCAGCCAGAATTCCAGTTCATAGTTGCTATCCAGCTCCCTCTACTGGTCGACATGTGTGGATGGTAAATAAGGACAGAATTGGGTTTGGCTATGATAATATATTTGATAATAATATATTGTATTTGATACGATATTCATTGCAGTCAAAGAGCTTGCCTTTCACTGTCCCTGTTCACTTCTGAATATTGGCCTCTTGGGCTAGGTGCCAGAGGGTGTGTGGTGTCCATGGAATTGTACTCCAGTGGAGGAGGAGAAGCTAATCTCCTTGAGGGAAGTAAGTGGAGTCTCCTTAGACTTGAGCAGACTCCAAAGGTGGCATTGTTGGAATCGATTCCTCCCTCCGTGGTAATCTCAGTAGTCCAGGTCCTGAGCCAGGTTTCAGGGCACTGCTAATGACAGACAAGGCAGCTTGGATCATTAGCCAGACATGGATGGCAGACCAGTTACTGGGATAGGAATTCTTCCCTTCAGCTCCTGTTAACCTTACAAGCCAAGGCCCTAACAGGTAGGGTGACTCTAACTGGTTAAGCAGCAGGAACTCTGCCAGACCTTGCTTTCAGCAACAAGCTATTTCTAGGAGAAGGGTATAAAAAGTGTCAGAGGATGTATTTCAGTATAACTTGAACCTGCCCATAATCATATCAAAATAATGTTTGCATTTGGCATAGCACTTTATCAAGTTGGAACATCTCAAAGTGCTTTGCCCAAGGAGTTACTTTGAAATACATACATTTTGTTTTGTTGACAAACACACTACCACCATAGGATATGTCCTCAAACCTTGGTGTGGAGCTTGAACCAGAGAAGAGAGTGTTACTAATGGAACCAACTATCACTACCATTTCATCTAACTTACTTCAGGCCTATGTACATTTTGCATTTGGGCTTTGCAGCCCACTCCTGTGCTGCGAGAACAGATTTCTGACCACTGAGTTCTTCTGAAGCCAAGCCCTATTGTATGCCCTACAGACCACACAACGTCTGCAAGCACTTTAAAAGGCCTGTTTGAGCATTGCTTCAGCCATGAAGGTTCCATTCAGATCTCTAAGCCACCCCAGCTGCTCTGACCATAAGCACATGTTCAGGATCCAGACAGCTGTGCTCCTTTCTCTGAACCTCACTTTAGATTATTTAGGCAGGTTTCTCAGTAAGTCCTGTCTCCAAAAGCATCTTTAGAGAAAATGAGTGAGTGGTTATCCCACAGAACCATATTTCTAAATATCTGAATGTTTGAGGCTGCACTGGCTTGAGGGAGGAGGGAAATCAGTTCACAAGATTGCAAGGGAGGTTTAAATGAAGAAGGCCCTTCAGTCCATTTAATCTCATCCTACCCTCTTGTCATAGCAGCATCCTGGCCTCACTGTATTGGAATGTCAGCCTAGATTGTAAAGTCCTGATCTTGCGTTTGAACCCACAATCTTCTGACTCATTCTAGCAACTGAGGCAGATTAACATCACAGGGTCCCATTTACACAAAACATCTTCTAGTGATTTTATTCAAATCTTGTGCTCTTATATTCTCATTCTGCATTGCTTTTTCAGAACGAGGAAAGTGCAAAGTGGTCTGCTTTCTATCAGCAAGCCTCTGATGACTCCAGCAAGTTTAACATCAATGAAATAAGCGACAACATAATTAAATTGCAGCTTAATTCACTCCAAGACAAAGGATCTGGGGTTTTGTCCAAAGAAGAGCAAGACCATGTAAGTAACTGAAGTGCCCTATTGTGAACAATATGGTGATACTTGCATGGATGTGAACTTCCCTAAAACATGAAACAATTCTTCATAAAACTAGTTATTTCACTTGAGAGAGAAGCATTACAGTACCTGGATGATACAAACTGTCTATTATTTAACTTAATTAAGATGTAAGATTAGTTCTGCTGGTAGTTATATTTTGAACATTGCTTAGGTTGAATTCTATTGATTTATCATTGCAGAATGTAACGTGATGGACTATATCATTGATAAAGATGGGCAGGCCAGCCACTGTTGTCTTTTTTCTCACCTTGATTCTAGTGCAATGGCTTTGCCTAAAGCTATTGCAGCCATCATTTAAATTGCTGGCTGGAGATCACAGTGTTTGCGTGCTGGTTAGTAGTATAATGGCTTAACTCTGATGTTGTTGATGACTGGAGTGTACAGTTTAGCCCAAACAACAAAAACATCAGAGTTAAGCTAGTATACTGCTGAACAGCATTCAAAAGTTGTGAGATCTGACTAAGGACTTCAGTAGACATTTGGCCAAATCATTGTGACAAAAGTTGGGGTCAAGGCAGATATTCTTACCTGTAGTTAATGTTTAGCTATTGACTGGCCTTGACCACATTTAGTAATGAAATGATAATTATCAAAGCACGCCTTGCACTTTTCTCTCCTGTTATGGTGCCCAGACTTTATTTTATCTCCAGTTTTCACCCCTCTTCTCCTGACTTGTGCTGCTCCTAGGGCAGTTACAGCTCTCCATTATCCCATCCAAGTAACCATTCTTTAATTGTGACTTTAGGTAGTGAATGTTATCAGGCTATTATACAGTATCGCAATGCACTTTGGCAGCAAGCCTAATTTTGTCAACACTGAATGTTCCCAGAGCAGAGCATAGATCACTGAATGATCACCCCTGAATGCTAGTCTTGTCCATTTACTGGGCACAAATTAACTTCTGTGTTTGTCTGGATAACAACATTTCTAATTAATCTTTATGTTAAATGCTTTAGGATATTTCCTTTTACTTGAAATACACTATACAAGTGCAAGTTATTCTTGTTTGTAATCAGCTAACAGCAAAGACCAGTGATTTATCAACAGCAACAACAACAATTTTATATTCATACAGCACATTTCGCATCGGGAGGGAATCTCAAAGCGCTCTCGACAGAATCATTATCGTGCTACTTTCCTGGTGTTCTGGGTAAAGGACCATCACACTATTCAGTGCATATACCAACAGAGATCATTTGGGAGATGATCCACAGAATTTTGTAACTTTTGTTAAATATTGTTTTTTAAATACAAATTTGAAGATGAAACTCTGTATTTGATCATCTTTCTCCTCCTCACTCCCCTTGCCCTACACCCCCACTACCCCCATTCGCTCGGGCGCCTAGCCAGGATTGCTAAGGTCCTTGGGATGTTCTCCTGATGTGAAAGGCACTCTGTAAATGTCAATTTAAATTTTAAATGTAAATTTTAAATGTCACTTTAAATTTTAAAGATAAATTGTATTGTATAGTTGTTTTGCATGATGTCTTGAATATGCACTGAGTATTTGTTTTGAGGTTTTATATCAAATATTCACGGTAGAGTATGATTTAGTGCTGAGTAAAGCTCCCACTACTTCAATTTGATGACCAGAGAAGAGCCCCCTCCCCTCCCCCCTCCATAATAAGATATGTTTTTACAATTCCCACACAGCATCTTTGCATGAAGCTGTCCAGACTCATTTCACATAAAGGACGTGCAGTCAGCAGTCTGAGCTGGATTGAAATCCCGACCCCAGAGGGTAAAGACCAGTGGGCTAACCACCAGCCCCTTTTCGCTGCGTTTTCTTTGGAAAATTTTGACTATGTAGAGAAGTTTCTTATTCATCTTCTTTTCTTTAGCTTTAAATTAGACCTCTTCAGGCCTTTCTGTGCCTTTCACCATTTCTCAAAATCAAACGATGAAAGTCCAGATGCAAAAAGGCTCTTCGGCCCATTTTATCTAATCACTCCAGAATACCCACCCTACTGATGACTGGCTTCCAGGTTTCTGTCAATAGTATTCTATAACCAGCTGTTAGCAACTTTGTAGTATCAGCTGGGAACCTCAATCCTTGATGTTCCCTCTGTGTGGGAAAGGCTCCCAACATTACACTGCAGTGTGAGGCGATTACAGGTGTGAAGCTGAGTCCTACTGTGAAGATGCTGTGTCAGACAGCGACTCAGTCCCAGCTATTTTATTTATTGAAAATTCAGTATCTTTCTACTGTTCTTATTACAGCTGAACGAAGTTCAGAATGAGATGAGCAAAATCTACAGCACGGGAACAGTTTGCAAACCAAATAATCCATCAGATTGCCTGGGTCTCGAGCCAGGTAAAGGACAATTATTTCAACTTCATACTTGAACTGCGTTCATACCACTAGAAGTGAAGCAATATCACTCACAGCAGTAGAGTGATTTGGGGCCGGAAACCTGATTTATGTTTCACATGTCACCAATGCATTGGAAAACTGGTGAGGTGAAAACTGTGCTACCGTTAAATGTGTATAAGAAAGTTCTTGCATTTTTATAGTGTTTTATGTCAAAGCGTCTCAGAGTACTTCACTGGTAACAGCTGTCCAATGTAGGATGTCTTTGTTGACAACTCTGCAGAGCTCTTCATGAATCTCTTTGCAAATGCCTTTTAATCAGGACTGACCATTTTGTTGGCCGAAAGCAAGGATTACAATGAGAGGCTGTGGGCCTGGGAAGGCTGGAGACATAATGTGGGGAAGGCGCTTAGACCACTTTACGAAGATTATGCAGATCTGAAGAATAAGGCAGCAAAGCTGAATGGTAAACTTACAAATTTGAAACCATAATGTCACATTATATGTCATCTGTTTTTATAAAATATTAGGAATTTTTATGTCCTTTTTGCCTAAAGGTTATCAAGACTATGGGGATTACTGGCGGGGAAATTATGAGACGAAAGACATAGGCGAATATGCATACAGTCGAGACGATCTTGTGAAAGATGTGGAAAGCCTGTTTGAAGAGGTTAAATTTATTTCTTCCTCTTGTACTTCCTGTTTCTACTCTTTTCATCTGATCTCTGGGAATCTTGTGATCTGACTTGTGGTTGCAGTGTCAGTGCTGTGACAGACTGTTACAATTTGAAAGATCTTTCAGCGTTTCCATTGTATCCAGGAATGCACTCAGTTCATAGAAACAAATAGTCATTACCTCTTGTTATGTTGAAATATGCTTTTCTTGTCCTGTTGTTTTAGTGCTTATTGCAATCTAGGATATGGTCTTTGTGACTCACTCTATTACTGAAGAACACCACTTGTCCTTGGTATCAAATGTCACTTAGGTTTCTTTCAAAAGATGTACATAGACTAAAGAACATTAAAATTGGGCCTCTTATATTTTAAATAAAACTTTGATCTTGAGTAAGGTTGACTTACGTTAAAATCTCTATTGGATCCTGACATAGTTCACTGTCCTTATTGAAGGCAAATCAGAATACTTAAGCATAGAAGGTATCTGAGGTATCGTGCTGTGGGAAGTTGCTGAATGTTAGAGAATACAATGATCAGACTTACCCAAGGCTACCAGTATTGCTGGCTGAATATGCTTGAATCAGTTAAATCTGGCTTTTATCACTGTTCCATTTAGTTTGTTGCCTTATCAATTGACTTTTTAAAATTGCAAACTGTTGAATAATCTGTGATTACTATTTAATTTTAAAACAACCTAATATCCAGTTCATACACAGAGTCCTGTATTTAAAAAACAATATTTAACAAAATTCTGTGGAGTCCTGTAGCTCAGTGGTTAGAGCACTCGCTTTGCAAGAGTTCAATTCCAGGCAGGGCGAAACCTTGGGCAAGTTTCCTTACTCCACACGCCTTATAATAATCCCTCCAAAAACAATAATAAATTGGTCATTTTCTATCTACGACTGTTTGTGGGACATCGCTGTGCGCAATTGGCTGCCGCGTTCGCCCACAAATATACAGTCAATTCACTTTACAGTGTGTTCTGTGAAGCGCTTTGGGACGTCCTCCTGACGTGAAAAGCGCTATATCAAATGCAAGGATTATTATTATTATTATACAGTTAGTTGCACTTGTTTAATAAAATGTGCAGAACCATATAGGAAAGGATAGAGCAGGGTACATCACAAAGCAATAACTCATCAAGAAGCTTTAGATGGTATTATGAATCTCAAGAGAAATGTTTACACTGTGCATAGGTGAGCAGCATTAGCCAAATGCTTTGATGTCTTCACGAGAGGTTCAAATAAATAAGGCCCTTCGGCCCATTTGATCTCATCCTTCTAGTACACTCTTATTCGGTGAAATAAAGATCCATATCTTTGGGTGCGAGTTGTGCGATGCAGTTATGGTTATTGTTTCACTCTATCCCAACTGAATTGATATTGTACCACATGATTCAAAGCATAGTCCTGTTCATAAGCACCATTGAGATATAACACATACAGCATGATAGAATCTGTAATTTGCAGTGAGATCATGGCAGTCACATAATATGGTTTGATCCCATTTCAAATCAAATCCATGTGATCCGACTGGGGGAGACTGGTCTCTGTTGCTGCCAATGGTGATTCCCAGTATAGACAGAACCAGAGTGATGCTCGCTCATGAAGACAAAATGTATATGTGACAAAGAATGGCATAGGATTGAGCCTGTTTCAACGACAAAACACCTATGGTGTTCCCAGCATGAGGAGGACACACATCAGCCGGTATTCCTGGCTGTTCCTGGTTTCACTCATGTTGATCAGGCTCATCTCTCAATACTGTCATGAAATAGCTCCAGCTATCCTCATTTTACTAGGCTGCTAAAAAGCAGGGAATTCTACATGTTTTATGTATATATTATGAAATAAATGGGGTCATATCGCAAACCACATCCATATATCAAACTGCTTCATGTCCTTGGTATTCAATAAATGTAATGTTGTGCATCATTGTCAGGTGAAGCCTCTGTATAGAGAACTCCATGCCTATGTGAGAGCAAAACTGATGGAAACTTTTGGATCAGAACATATCAGCCGGACTGGAGGCCTGCCTGCTCATTTACTGGGTATGGTAAAGCATCTTGAATTATCTGGTGGCTATAGGTAGCATTGTCACATTTTTATTGGGGGAGGGAAATATTTGGACGGCTGATTTCCTCCAACACAGACTCTTGTAAAACACCCATGCTAGAGTGTTTACATTGACTACTGGGAATTATTCAAGCTACAGTAGATATGTTGCATAGAAAAATATGGTGTGTATTATTGCTGAGTAGTATAAATATACTTAGATGTAATCTATTTAGATTTCCAAAAGGCATTCGATAAGGTACTACATAGTAGAATAATGAATAAGGTCAGAGCATGTGGAGTCAGGGGAAAAATAGTGGAATGGATAACAAGCTTGCTACAAAACAGAAAACAGAGAGTAGGGGTAAAGGGTAGCTACTCAGACTGGCAGGGTGTGGGCAGTGGTGTTCCACCAGGATGGGTATTGGGACCACTGTCGTTCACAATATACATTAATGATTTGGACTCGGGAATCAGCAGTACAATTTCAAAATTTGCAGACGACACCAAATTGGGGAAAGTAGTTAATACAGAGGAGGACTGCAACAAATTACAGCAAGACATTAATAAACTTGCTGAATAGGCATTTAAATGGCAAATGCATTTCACTGTGGAAAAGTGTGAAGTGGTACATTTCGGTAGAAGGAACAAGGAAGTCACATACATCCTGAAAAATAAATGAAGTAGAGGAGCAAAGAGATCTAGGGGTACACATACACAATTAACTAAAAGTAGAACGCGGGTTAATAAGGCCATAAAAAAGGCAAATCAGGCATTGGGGTTCATTTTTAGAGGGATAGAAATGAAAAGCAGGGAAGTTATGGTAAACTTCCTTAGAACCTCGGTTAGACCACACTTGGAATACTGTGTGCAGTTCTGGTCCCCACATTATAGAGGGAATGTGGAGGCACTGGAGAGGGTGCAAAGGAGATTCACAAGGATGATTCCAGAAATGAGAGGTTATACCCATTAGGAAAGGCTGAACATGCTTGGATGACCTGATAGAGATCTTTAAAATGATGAAAGGTTTTGATAGGGTAGACATAGGGAAGATGTTTCCACTTGTGGGGGAGACTAAACCCAGAGGCCATCAATATAAAATAGTCACAAATAGATCAAATAGGGAATTTAGAAGAAATTTCTTTACACAGAGAGTAATGTGGAACTTGCTACCACAAGGAGTTGTTGAGTTGGTGAGATAGGTACACGGGGGAGAACAAAATAGAAGGTTATGCTTGAAGGCTTAGTTGAGGAAGGGCAGGAGGAGGCTCATGTGGAGCATAAACACCGGCATAGACCAGTTGGGCCAAGCGGGCTGTTTCTATGCTGTATATTCTAATGTATTCTAATTCCTATGAATGAATTCTGCCAAATATTGGTCAATAGAGATAAATTAGGAAGCCTGTATTTGTAATTCAAATACCTTATGTAAGACGAACTGAAGGCTTAACTCTTATGTACCTTCCAAGCTTTCAATTATTCAAAACTTTTCAGTATTTCTTGGGTGTGACTATCAATTTAGTTAACAATTTACTCACAGTGCAATACAAATTGACATTATCGGAGCATTCACATCAAGAGGATGCCCAAGGCACTGGACAGTCTAAGTCTGAGCTAGGGATAGGGGCTGAGGAGATTCGGGGTGAGGGAGGGGGAATGATGGCCGAAAACATGGTCAAAGAGGCAGACCTTGAAGGAAGCGAGGGAAGGGGTGAATCGAAAGAATTCTGAGATGGATTTCCAGAGGCTGGGGTAGTTAACAACCTAAAATGTTGCTGTATTTGTCTTTTCTTTCATTGCCAGGTGACATGTGGGGAAGGTTTTGGGCAAACCTGTATCCTTGGTCAATTCCGTATCCGTCAGAGGAAGACATCGATGTGACACAAGCAATGGTAGAACAGGTAAGCAGGTTGTCACACCTCTCCTATACCCGCAGTGTTAACACATCTGATTATGCCAAAACAGGGCATGTATTAAAAGTTTCCTTATATACAAAGAAATATATAAATTTCTAATTTTTATAAGCTCCTGGCCTCCACGCTTTCATTATGCTGGGATGCAGTTTCAAGATTGTTAGTTGCCCTTCACTACCTCGCCCAAGTGGCCACCGTTCATACGTGAGCTTTGGCAGAGAGTGTTGGCAGGTCACTCAACCTTAGAGTTTCAGTCAAGCTTGATATCTTGCAACCCGACTATGACACATGCAGACTATCAATAGAAGGTAGTGAAGAGGAGCAGGAGCAGGAACTCTGGCTGTTTTTTACCTTATAATAATAATTAAATAATCCTTGCATTTGATATAGCGCTTTTCACGTCTTCTCGCCATCTCAAAGCGCTTCACAGAATCGACTGTAAAATGAATTGACTGTATATTTGTGGGCGAAACGCGGCAGCCAATTGCGCACAGCAGTGTCGCACAAACAGTCGTGGATAGAAAATGACCAATTTATTATTGTTTTGTTTTTGGAGGGATTATTATTAGGCGGGTGGAGTAAGGAAACTTGCCCAAGGTTTTGTCCTGCCTGGAACTGAACCTAGGTGTCTCGCTTGCAAGGCGAGTGCTCTACCCACTGAGCTAAAGGATTCCACACTAAATTCACTAACACTGGGAAGCCCACGATTAATTGAACCTCCTCCTCAGCCCTGGCTGAGATCAGCAAACTCAGCATGGACTGGGATTCGAATCAGCTCTATCCACTACACCAAGGGGCTCCAACTGGTCGATCATTGTTAGATGGCTTTTCACGCCTGCTCAAAAAGAGAAGCAAGAGCGATATTTACCGCAGTTTAAACATTGGAATTTATACTCTTATTTTGAGATGCATGAAATACTTTGTGCATCTGGCTTCATTTTCAATTTAACTCAATTTTACTCAATAATGACACAATTCTATCACTCCTGCCTCTTGTCTTTTTGATCATGTGCAAGAATGCCACCTAGTGGGCTCCTACACGAATAGGGCTGCTCTCGTGTTTCTTTCTTAATATTGCATGTCGATTTACATCAATGGAAAATTACATATTTGACTGATTTGTGTTGCTTATTCAGGTGGAGTTCACAAATTCTTTTGGTTTCAACACGAACAGGTTAATTCATCGTAGGACTTTATTAGTATGTGTACAGCTGAAAGAATTAGGTTACATGTATAGCAAACCACACAATATTATTATTATTATGACCCTGGAATGAAAGGCAGTAACTTTAGTGCCTTGTCACATTTGACTGAAATATTTCCTTGTTTTAGGGCTGGACTGCAAAAAGAATGTTTGAATCAGCAGATAAATTCTTTCAGTCTGTGGGCCTTCAGCCGATGAATGACAATTTTTGGAAAAATTCCATGATTGAGTTACCCACCGATGGACGCAAAGTTGTCTGTCATCCAACAGCGTGGGACATGGGGAATAGGGTTGATTTCAGGTACTTACAATTAACTATAGTCTCTAAACTACTGCTAAAAATGTAACATAGTTAAATGTGTTCATATTTTTCTTTGTTAGAGGATATATGGTATGTGCTAATTATTTATGGTGACAACTTATCTCAAGGGCAGCATATACAATTTAATAATAATAATCCTTGCACTTGCTACAGCACCTTATCATGTCTTCAAGTTGTCTCAATTTGCTTCACAGAATATAGTATAAGGTGAATCGACTGTATATTTTATGGGCGAAATGCGGCAGCCAATTGCGCACAGCAGTATCCCACAAACAGTCGTGGATTGAATGACCAATTTATTATTATTTTTTGACACATTTCACAATTTCACACTGTGTAAATTATATTGTGCCTTTCATGTCAGGCGGATGCCCAAAGCGCTTTACACAGCTAGCTGGGCACCTGAAAAAAAACTTTGAATTGGTCTGTAATGGGAGTATGGTGATTGTGTTTCCCTGCTTGGCAGTGATCTGAAATCATTCTAAAAGAAAAATTAAAAAGTCATACAAGCAGCTAACATTCAAAAAGCGAAATCTATCCCCAATTTAAAACAAATATTGGGACAGTTCTTGAATGCAAATACAAAAACTGGAAATAGGAGAGATGTCCAGGACAAAACTGACCACATGTTCTGTTTTTGTGATTATCACATCATGTATTGCACACTATCCCCCTATATTTAAAGGGACTTTATCAACTGATTAGGTTAAGCTAAAATTTACAAGTGAAACTGGAAGTAGAGACAAGAGTTAAGAAATACATGCCTGATTGTGCGGGAAATGTGCCTATCTTATGATCAAAATAAAAACTACTGTCTTTTTTTTAAAAATGGGAACTTACATTTATGTCTTTGATTCAGTCTGGCTTAGTGGTTACACTTTCATTTCTGAATCAGAAAGTTGTGGGTTGAGCCCGAGGTTGGGACTTGGAATCAGATCGACAAAGCTGACCCTCGAATGCAGTGCTGGGGGTGGGGGGGTGGGTATTGCATTGTCCTAGGAGCCGTCCTTCAGATGAGACGGTAACTGAGGTCCCGTCTGCTTGTTCTAGTGGGCGTTAAAGATCCCATGGCACTATTCAAAAAGAAAATGCAGTTTCTCCCGGTGCCCTGGCCAAAAAATCCCCCAAATAAAATCGGTCACTCATGCCATGGCTGTTTGTGGGACATTCCTGGGTGCAATCCGCCCACAAAATATACAGTGAACCCACTTTACAGTATAACATGTGAAGCACTTTGAGATGTCTGGATGACATGAAATATCAAATGCATTGTGTGATATCAAATGCAAGGATTATTATTATCTTTACATAAGATATCAATAGAATATTAAAAGAGGAATACTAGAGGAAAAAAAATTCTATCCCAAAAATTTGGAAAAAAAACCAATTGGTTTTCTGGCAATTAAGACCCCTCCTGGCTAATTAATTCCATGCTTTGCCTTAGTCTCAAAAAGCAGCTAATATGGATTTTCACTCTGACCACAGAAAAACATCTGAAAATTACAGAAACATTCACTTGCACAAAGTGAAGAATTGTACAGTGACTCAGCCCCATCTTTTAAGCCACTATGATCTTTAAACCTACAGTTTTTTTTATGATAAAAATCCTTGCATTTGATATAGCACTTTTTCATGTTGTCGAGATGTCTCAAAATGTTTCACATTACTGTAAACTACTACTATGTACTACTCTAAAATCTGTATTTGTGAGTGAAATGCAGCAGCCAGTTTGTGCACAGTAATGTCTTACTAATAGCCATGGAGTGAGTAACCGATTTTATTTGGGGGATTGTTAGCCAAGAGACTGGGACAAACTCCCTTCCCTTTTCGAATAGTGCCATGGGATCTTTAACGTCCACCTGAACAGACAGATGGCACCTCGGTTTAACATCTCATCCGAAGAATGTTATCTCCTACAATGCAACCCCCCCCGGCACTGCATTGGAGTGTCAGCTTAGAATATGCGATTCCAAGTCCTTGAACCCACAACTTTCTGACTTAGAGTGGAGAGTATGACCACTGAGATAGGTTGACATCCGTCTAAAAATTTCTCTGTATATTTCCATTCCAGACTTTTTTATGTTTCCGATCTTGAAATTGTGAATGTTAAACTTAAACATTAAACTTCAAGGAACAAGAAAAAAACATTTAAATTTAATAAGCTCAAGAAAATAAAATTTGGTGCACTCACCTCTGCTCTGCTCAGCGAGAAACTTGACAAAACAATACCACAGTTTGTGTGCCACATGCCTCTGGAACTCCATCCCACAGCCCTTCTGCCCTTGCCTCCTTCAAGATCCTCCTCTTCGACCGTGCCTTTGGTCACCCTCCGACCCCTACCCTCCCTGCACTCCACCGCTCCTGATCCCAACCACCAGCTCGGGTGCGGATCCCCGACTGTCCAGCGCCTTGGGACGTCCTCCTGATGTGAAAGGCGCTATACAAATGTAATTTGTTGTTGTTGTGGGAAGTGGCAGGTGTGTTATGCACGTGTGTTATTACGAAATTGCTCTTTTCAGTAATCTACACGTGACATCTCTCAGTGTCCAGTATATTTGGAATGCATATTGAGCCGATCTCACTCACACTAGTATAAAGTGGAATTTTGGGATGGAATATTTAGGTCTTAAACTATAGTTACCTATTCAAACTAGAACTATGACAACTTATTGCATCTCTCTCAGGCTCAAATACATTTAAGGAAAGTCAAGTTCAGTCCTTATATATATCTTGTTTCTTTGCCTAACTATAGTAACAATGATGTATGAGAGATGTAGTTATATAAGATATAACTGGCCTAAGCCTCTGTTGTACCAAAACCTCCTGTGTACCGTGAATGAATTGACAATTACTGTTCATCTGCATTGTACTTTAAGAATAAGGTTCCTCGAGAGATTCTAGAGTTTGTTTTTACAAAATAATAAGCTCATATTGGCTCATATGGTCATAAGACTATACACCATTTATTGGTGCTTCCCGTCATTTGTCAACACTGCAATTTACTTTGACTTCTTTGCGTTGTTCATTCAAATTACCATCACTTGAAGTTGACACTTTTTCCAAAGTAAAGTAATCTTATTTTGATTTGTGCTGCTAGAAATATAGAGATTAACTTGCAGTCTATGTGTTATATGATCTTGGTTGAACAGGGAGAACTCTTTAGCCTTTCATTGATAGCCAGCTATAATCTAGTTTATACCACGATATGCCTCTTGTGGCACGCGTATCTTGTTGTTGTAACTTTCCTGTTATTGCCCAATTTGAAACATTCTTTGCCATCTCCAACTCTGTCTCTCACAATCCTCATGAGGGTTGCACATATCTCGGACAGTCCTGCTTTCCTGAATGGATGAGATCTTTGGTCATATCATAAATTGTATGTAACAAAAAGAATGGAGAGAGAAGTTCGCCTAATGGACATGTTTTTTCCTATTGACATGCAGGATTAAAATGTGCACTAAAATTAATATGGAAGACTTCTTGACCGTACACCATGAAATGGGCCATATTCAGTATGACATGGAGTACGCACACCTTCCTTACTTGTTGCGTGACGGGGCAAATGAAGGCTTCCATGAGGGAGTAGGAGAGATCATGTCCCTTTCAGCAGCTACTCCAAAGCATCTCAAATCACTGGGTCTTCTCCCAGCATCTTTTATTGAAACTAGTAGTAAGTACTTGAAATACTGTTTTTTAAAAAATACTTTGAATTATAACAATAATAATTAATAATAATGCTTGCATTTGATATAGCATCTTATTGCCTTATTGAAACATCTCAAAGCTCTTCACAGGATTTACTCTAGGATGTAGTGGCTGTGTATTCTTCAGGCTTATCCTTATTAACTTCTTGGGAAAGATTCCTTATTAAAGAATCTAGTTAAGAAATATTGCATATTATAACGCTCTGTTATGATTTTTTTTACTGGCAGAACTGCCATATCACTTCTCAAAGCTGAAAAAGAGAGACTTAGCTAATGTCAGCAATAGAATGTTCTCAAAACAAAAGCTCAGATTGGCATTTTTCTTGGCCTCCACACTAATCTGCAACGCTACTGAACTGGTTACTCCATTTATTCAGTGAACACTGGCCTGTTTCATGTTCCCCTTCTGATCTGCCCCACTAGCAGTGGGCGAGCTATCAATCATTGTGTCCCCGCTCACTGGAATTCCATGCTTCTCTGTAATCCCTCTGACTCACCCCTCCATCCCTCCCCAACTTTAAAGCCTGCCACAAGACTTGCCTATTTGACCATGTTTTCAGTCATCTTTCACCTCCCCCTCTTCAAATCCTATTTCTCCATGGCTCACATGCCAACCAGCCGTGTAAAGTACTTCAGACCTCCTCCTGATGTGAAAGGCTTTATGAAAATGTAGACTGAATTCTGAAGGTTTCTATATTGTAAATATGCTGTAAACTTTTTTTAAAACAATTGGTTGTTTTCATCAGAACAATGACGAGTCTGGTTCTTTCTATCATAGAGATCGATATAAATTTTCTACTGAAGCAGGCCTTAAGTATTGTTGGCACTCTTCCCTTCACGTTCATGATGGAGCAATGGAGGTGGAAAATGTTCAGAGGGGAGATCCCCAAAGATCAGTGGATGAAAAAATTCTGGGAAATGAAGTAAGTGATTATGTTTATAAATTTTAGGAATAGCTTTTTGGTTCTTGTATTCATTCATAGAACCTTAGATCCATAGAAATTTACAGCACAGAAGAAAGCCATTTACGCCATTGCGTCTGCTGGCTTTTCTAAAGGATAATCCTTTTGGTACTATTTATCTGCTCTTTTCCTATATCCTTGTAGTTTATTCCTTTTTATTTATAGATATTCAATATGTAAGCAAACACAGAAACAGAAAACTGAGTCATTTAATAGTTCAACTGTAGGATGTTCCTTGGGAGAAATTGTTGAAAACATTACCTGGTTTACAGTGACCAATTTAGAGACACAAATAGTTTTCACTTGGGAGGATTACAATTAGGTCAATTACTATCACATTTTCAAGGAACAGCCTACCCAAAATGATTATCTATAGTCGACCCCGTTATAACATGAATTATTGATTTTATGAAATGAGAACCCATATTATAACAGATCATATTATAGCACAATCCATGGATAGCACTTCTGGATCATCACTGATGACACTGCCGTTGACATCATGAGCTTGTGTACAGCACACAGAATACTAGCTGGTCAGGTGTGTTTGCCCTTACAAGCATTTCCAGCAGTTGCTGGTGTCTCTACTGGTGGGAGACGGGGTGTGTGGAGACACACAAATCTCTGCGTTAAGCAGAGGTAGCTGGCCAGTCGAGCTGGTTGTGTATCACACTTCTAGTGTATCGCCACAGGTCCACAGTGTGCCCAAGGTATATACTGACCTGCAGTATACTGTGTATAACAGAATGTACTGAAAAACTCAGAAACATCAGCATTTGTATCTTAACATTACAAAAAAAAAGCAGCTAGACTAGACTCAATTGACTTAGATAGGGTGGATAGAGAAAGATTGTTTCAGGGATCTGGAACTCGAGGGCAGAGTTTTAAAGTCAGAACTGGAAACAGAGATCAGAACAGAAATTAGGATAAAGGTTTTCATACAGAGTGATGGGAGTGTGGAATTCTCTATCACAGTCAGTTGTTGGGGCGGCAATGATGTCCGCATTCAAAACAAACAGGACACATGGTTAAAATTGATGGATACAGGGGAAAAGCCAGGATATGGGACAAGAGATAGAACTTAGGATAGACACTTGTATGGAATATAAACACTGGTCCAACTGATTCTGATCTGTACTTTCTATTAATGTAAAAATAGAAGGCAGAGGAAGCTGAAAGAGACTTACGGGTATTACTTGACTGTGCACTTACCATATGAACATTATGTGGCAACAATAAAGAAGGCAACAGGATGTTGGGATATATCACCAGTTGAATTCAGATTCCCAGAAGTTCTGCCTCAAATTGCACAGTGCTATGGTCAGATTGCACTAGAGTACTGTATTTAGTTGTAGTCGCTGTCACATAAGAGGGTTGCCCAGGTCCTCATAGCATTTGCAGATATGACAACGAGAATGATCCCCAATGTTAGATGAATGAGATATATAAGCAACAATTACACAAGTTAGGGCTCTTCATCCTTGAAAAGAGACCATTTTAAATGGGTTGAGAAGATAAACTCAGAATAACATATTCTAAAATGCTAAGCAGAACAAAAGGGAACCAGTTGCAAAGGTTGCAACAAGCAATCTCAGGACAGATATCAGGAAGTTTATCTCAGCCAAAGAGCTTCATTCATCTGATCCAGTCTTGTGAAAAGTACAATACTAATCAACTACTTTGCCAAATTTCTTACTGTAAATAAATCATTTTCAAATTGCTTGATATTCAATGAACTTGGGTCAATACTGTCTGTTGCAAAACGAGCTGCAGCAAGAATTTGCTGGTCCTACAGATTTTACTGTATTCAATATTTTCAACCTGATTTAATAACAAGATGAAATGCAAAATACTGCAGAGGCTGGAAATCTGAAACAAATACAGAAGTCGCTGGGAACACTCAGCAGGTCAGGCAGCATATATAGAGAAAGGAAAGTGAGTCAATGTCTCAGGTCAATGTTCTGACAAAGAGTCATGGACCTGAAATGTTGACTCACTTTCTTTTCTCCATAAATGCTGCCTGACCTGCTGAGTGTTCCCAGCGGCTTCTGTATTTTTTAATAACGAGATGAGTTGTGTATATGAGTTATATAAGATTACTTGAAGGTCTAAAGGGAATTAAGGAAGTAAATAGTATTTCTCTTCCTAGATTTTCAAGAAACAGTGAGTGATTTCAATATGAGCTTCTATATTGAGGACATAATCCCAAAAAAGTAAAATTTGAAATTGGTACTGAAATTCTTGTAATAAATTGAAGTACCAGCATGTACTCGGTTGTTGAATTGGTTTTGTTTCGTGGTTATGAGGCAATACTTAACTCTTGAATTAGGAAGTAAATAATATTTCTCTTCCTAGATTTGCAAGAAACAGTGAGTGACTTCAATATGAACTTCTGTATTGAGAACGTAGATGTTTTTACATACATGATATGCCCATCTCATCTATATATAATGGGGAAAAATTTGCAGCATGTGATTTAACATCAATGATAATGGATAATGTGGAGTCCTGTAGCTCAGTGGTTAGAGCACTTGCCTTGCAAGCGAGACACCTGGGTTCAATTCCAGGCAGGGCGAAACCTTGGGCAAGTTTCGTTACTCCACACCCCTAATAATAATCCCTCCAAAACAAAACAATAATAAATTGGTCATTTTCAATACACGACTGTTTGTGGGACACTGCTGTGCGCAATTGGCTGCCGCGTTTCGCCTACAAATATACAGTCAATTCACTTTACAGTAAATTCTGTAAAGCACTTTGAGACGTCTAGAAGACATGAAAAGCGCTATATCAAATGCAAGGATTATTATTGTTATAATTCTCACAAGGACAAAATATCCAGTTGTTGAGGCTGAACGTCCCTCTGTAGAATGGTTTTAGGTAGTTGGGACCATATCAAATTCAGGAACATTACACCCAACATCCATGCAAAGTATGTAATTTCCTAGTGCTAAAATTCAGAATCATAAAGTTGACGCACAAAGAATGTTGTATTTATTAATATTTAGGAAATAAATGGTATGAGCTTTTTGGAGAATTGATATTATGAAATGTGCCTAATGATTCTTTGTTTATCTTTGTCTTTGTGCCTTTCTTTAAAACTACATCTAAGAAATTGTCCTTTTTCTTTCTTAGACGGGAATTTGTTGGTGTTGTCGAACCTGTCCCCCATGATGAAACTTACTGTGATCCTGCTGCTCTGTTCCATATTGCTAATGACTATTCCTTTATAAGGTAAGAGTACAGAATTTCTATCCTGTATTGATAAATCCTCAGCTTTACTTTTTATTACATGGTCACCTTCCTGGAGCTTACAATGATTGGGGTCTAATTTACGGTATTCCTAAATAAGGAATCTGAGTTCAATACCATCAATGTGGTTTACACATCATATGTCACAATTTACTTCCTCATAATCTCTCACGTTTCAGTCATGAGGNTTTTTCCCTTCAAACAAAATGTATTATGTGCTGAATTTATCTTCAGAAATAATCCCCAAATTAACTTTAAAGTAACATTTGAAACTGTAATTAGGAACAACAGAGAATTTGTCTTTTTCTAACTTCCCTTTTGTGTTCAAAACTGCCCCTGATTTTACGAAGCTGGAAGTTGATTTCGGAAAAGCCATTTTTTTTCAAATTCAATTTGATTAAAGTTTTTGATTAATTCATGATTAATCTTCCAGTTTCTTCAATGCCTAAAGGTATTTTGCACCTTGACATCTTAAAAAGTACTCTATATAATATATAATAATAATATATGTGGTGTATGGTGAATGATTTCAGGTACTATACCAGGACTATATTCCAGTTCCAGTTCCAGGAAGCTCTGTGCCAAGCTGCTGGACACACTGGCCCACTACACAAATGTGATATCACCAACTCCACTAAAGCGGGCACAAAGCTCAGGTAGGTCCCAATAGATTTGATGCAATGATTGACTGCATTTTGTTTCAATTCTGTCCTCGGATGTGGGCCTTGTTTCCCAGAGAAAGTGGTGGTTTTTAAACTGCTATAGACCGTATGACAAAAGGGGGTCTCACAACATTGTCTGGGAAGGAATTTCAGAACGTTGACCCACCAACTGTAAAGGAGCAGTGATGTATGTCCAAGTCAGGATGGTGTGTGACTTGGGGAGGGTTATGGTGAGGTGATGACGTTGCACTGTTTGGCTCAATTCCACACTCTCCTCCCCCTTCACACACACCTTTATTTCGCTAGATTCACCATTCCATATACTCAGGTTAGAAGCTGTATTGACAAAAGCCTTTGAATTGCAAACAACTTACGATTACATATTGTTGGCAAAGAATGAAGCAAGCTTGCAGGCAGGGGTCTGTTTCTGTTAATAATAATCCTTGCATTTGATATAGCGCCTTTTCATGTCGTTGAGTCATCGCAAAGCGCTTTACAGTATATAACAACAAGATTATATTTGTATAGCGCCTTTCACGTCAGGAGGACGTCCCAAGGTGCTGAAACATTTTATATATTATAAAATGTAAAGTGCACTGTAAAGACTATATATTTTATGGGCTATCCTAACTTTGTATGAACTCTTCTTTACAATGGACGATGTACAAAGCAAAGGTTCTTTGATGGTGGTTGTTCATCATGCCTCTATCCAAAGATCCAAAGTTAGTAACCATGTTGTGTTTCTGTGTCTCCTATCCAGTAACATGCTTAAACTAGGAAAGTCAAAATCATGGACCAGAGCACTTGAAGAAGTAACTGGTCAAACCAGAATGAATGCTAGACCTCTTCTGAACTACTTCAAACCCTTGTATGAGTGGCTGAAGAAAGATAACCAGGACAAAGGCAGACATGTTGGTTGGGACCCCACCTGGACTCCATGTATGTACCCTATATGTTGATCTCTCTGTAATCTACCTAGCAGTACCATCTTTTCCATGGTCATTAACTCTTCCACCATGTATTTCACTCCTAACCTTTCCTATGCTTGTTACTGTAATGTGTAGCCTTAATGTAAACACAGCACACTAGTGATGTGGAAAGGCAACACAGGCCTCTTCTGACCATATTGCTCTACCAACACTTCACCAAATAACTGCTGGAAAGAGTCAATGGCACTGCTAATTGAAATGGTCTCCAGCATCCCTTAAAGAACACTCTCAAAATATAAGCAACAGCCTAGTCCCCAGGAATCTACTCACACATGGCATAGGACTTCTGTGGCAATCTTGGTGGTTCAGTTCCTGAACCAGATGGATCCCCATTACGTCAAAACTATACTGACGACAGAACAGACAGTTTGGCATATTCGCAGGACTTCTTGGGCAGACAAGGCACTGGGGGAAGGATTTTTTCTACTTGGCTCCTGCTAGTCTTGTTCTAAGTCTTCCAAGATGTCATTCTGCATGAAGGGCAGCATATAAATGTAAGCTGTTTCTGTTAATCTATAAGTCAAAGCCCTGACAGGTAGGGTGGTCTAGCTGGACAAGCAGCAGGAATATTACTATAAAGTATTTGGAATGACAATTTTACCTGATCAAATTCCAGAAGTACTCTGTGGTCCCCAAGCTTTGTCTTTGTCTATTACTTTGTTTATTACCTCCCAGAATTAGGTGAAGCAAGCTCTTGCCTCTGAAGCAAAGTGCGCATTCTATTTCTGACACAGGGACATTTCTTTGCTTGGATGGCATACATAATAATAATAATCCTTGCATCTGATTTAGCACCTGATCATGTCTTCGAGATGTGTCAAAGCACTTCATAGAATAAACTGTAAAGTGAATTGACTGTATATTATGTGGGCAAAACTCGGCAGCCAATTGCTCACAGTAGTATCCTGCAACCAGTCATGGATTGAGTGACAAATTTATTGTTATTATTTTTTTTGAAGGAATTATTACCCCCAGAAAAGCGATCCGCCAATCGACTAACAACTGAGTTCCTACTTACCGCTAGGTAAACAGAGTACATATGTGAAACTCTGTTTGGATACTCTTAAGTATTATGATGGATTTCGATGTGTGTCAAAATACCTGACTAACCAAAAAAGGGAAAGCTGTACTTTCCCAGTAGGATAACGGATAACAAAATGTTTGTAGTCTGCTTAGTAGTTTTTTGTTTTGTTTCAGACGCAGATAGACACCACGTTGACCTAATCAGTAAATCAGGTAAGAATGACCTCAATTCTGTGTGACTCATGAGAACATCACTTGTGTTGCAAACTAACAAGAGAGAACAGGAAAGCATTGTTTAGGCTCAGCCTCTATATACAGAACATTGAGGGAGGGATGGTTCAGGAGTCAGCACCAATCTAATGCACTCTGCAAATTCAACTCTGCCCTGACAGATAAGTGTTAATGTAATTGTAGTCAAAGGTTCAATACATTCTGGTCATATGCTTATTTTAGGCTACTGTGTGTGGTCATCCTGCCTGATGAAGGAGGTGCATCAACTTTGGACTACAGTCCAATTCATTGCCTCCCAGAATCCTTACCACACACTTCACAGGAGTTTTAACCATAAACGAGACCTCCCCCTTGACTCTAGCAACACTGAAACAACCAACAACAGATTACCTTTGTATACCGCCTTTCATGTCAGAAAGAACAGGGTCACCCCCAGCACAAAATACAAACAACAACAACTTAGATTTATATAGCGCCCTCCACGCCGGACGGTGTCTCAGAGCGCTTCACAGTAACGGATCCTGGGGCCGAACCAGGGGGGGAGGGGGAGGAAGGTGACCAAAGGCGCGGTCTAAAAGAAAGGTCTTCAGCTGAGACCTGAAAATAGGAAGAGAGGGGGTGAAGCGAAGGGAGTGAGGAAGGGAGTTCCAGAGCCTCGGGGCATAGTGGCTGAAGGCACGGCATCCGAGGGTGGAGCGAAGCACTCGGGGGACAAGGAGAAGACCAGACCCGGTGGAACGAAGGCAACGGGCACTGTTGTGAGGAGAGAGGAGGTCAGAGAGGTAGGGGGGTGCAGAGGAGTGGAGGGATTTGAAGACAAGGGTGAAGATCTTGAAGGCAATCCTCTCTGGGATAGGCAGCCAGTGCAGTCTGGCAAGGACTGGGATAATCGGGGAGCGGAGTTTGGTGCGGGTAAGAATGCGAAAGACTACTCCCCAGGGTTCTCACCAAACATGACATGAGGGCCTATCATTTCACAGCAGCACCAACAGTAACATAGTGCTTGTAGTTTGTTAATATTTTTTTTGTTTCCAGATGAAGAGCAATTTGACCAGAAGTCTGTCTCAGGTAAGAATGTTCGTAATTCTGGGTAGCTCCTGGGAAAATAACAAGAGAGAATGGGAGACGACAATGGAGGCTTAGCCTCCATATGTATTACGATCAGAGAGGGACTGTTAAGGTTTTGGTTTCAAACTTACGCATTCTCGAAATTCAATTCTATTGTGCCAGATAAATATTAACATAACTACGTGAAGGCATCCTGCATGTCACCAGAATCATGAAGCTTTGTTCTACCCAAAGCACCTATACAACCTTAAATAAAAGCAGAAGTCGCTGGGAACACTCAGCAGTTCAGGCAGCACCTAGAGGAAAATTAGTTAACGTTTTTCAGGTCGATGACCTTTTGTCAGAACGTATAGAACCTTTGCTGGTCTAAGCACTTTTATTTGTGCATGGATGCTTTATTTTCCACCTCTAACATGTAAGGCTTATCATAATTTACTAGATATTTTAAAATACAAGAAGTATTCCATTGAGGCCTCACAAAATGTAGTAAAATAAAACATATAAAATGCAGTAAGAATTAACTATTGTGCAGATTTTTAGATAAAATTTCAGGTTCCTTTGCTGAGCGTACAGAAAACCAAACTTTTATATCTTACTATTTTCAGAAGCTGCAGAGGCATTCAAAGTACGGATCAGCTTGAAGACTGCCCTTGGTGAGAAAGCAGTAAGTGTGCTTTTCAACAGAACAACAACAAATTATATTTGTATAGCACCTTTCATGTCAGGAGGATGTCCTAAGGCGCTGGACAGTCAGAGATTTGGATCGGGGTAGGGTGATGAGATCAGGGTGGGTGGAGGGCAGGAAGGGTAGGAGGGTGGCCGAATGCGCAGTCAAAGAGGAGGGTCTTGAGACTTGCTTTTTAAATAGTCACACACACACATCTCTGCAAGCAAATTATCAGTGGGAATCATCTGACACATTCTTTATGGGACATTGCTGTGCAAACTGGCTGCTGCATTTTGGCCACAAAATAATAATAATAATAATAATTCTTGCATTTGATGTAGCCCCTTATCACGCCTTCTAGTGAATTGACTGTATATTTTATGGGCGAAACGCAGCAGCAGTATCCCACAGACAGTCGTGGATTGAATTGACCAATTTTTTTTGAAGAAATTATCACCCCATGAAAGTGATCCACCAATCGACTAATATCCGGTGTTCCTGCTTACTGCTAGGTAAACAGAGCCGCATGGAGTAAGGAAACTTGCTCAACATTTTGCCCTGCCAGGAATCAAACTCAGTTCTCTCGCTTGCAAGGCGAGTGCTCTAACCACTGAACTATGGGAATCCACATATCTTGTGGAGTCTTGGGTCTGGTTATCCAATATTTTATGGCTATCCCTCTCAGGAAGAACTCATACAATTATAATCAGTTACTAACCAAACTGTTTATCTGCTTTCAGTATGAATGGAATGCAAACGAAGAATATTTTTTCCAAGCAACTGTAGCTTATTCCATGAGGAAATACTGGGCAGAGGTTAAAAGTGAAACTTTAAATTTTGAGTAAGTAATTGTGCATGGTTGTGTGTGAATCACGGCTTTTCCTGTGACACCCAGGATTACCTTGTCTCCTCTCACTATTCTTAGTCACCCTGTAGAAACTCCTTGGAAATAAATGTAATGTTCACTGAACAGTGTAATAATCAGGAGGTTTCACTATTTATTACGTTTTGTGATTTTCAAAAAAATATAACTGACCATTAATTTTTCAGCTCCAGTCATTTACTCCATTTAACTGTGGGGTTTTGTGGGGCTTTTGAGCAGTTACAATTGGTCATTTAATTCATAGCTCTTGTGTGCAAATTAGCTGGTATATTTGCAAATACACAGTCACTCCTCTATGAAGCACTTTGAGATGTTTTAGTGACATGATAAGGCACTATATCAAATGTAAGGGTTATTAGAGGATTATTGTAGTGAATAGACATGATGGGGTACTATTCAATTATTGTCATCTGTGAGTATCATGTGATTGTCACAGTCGTAAAATGAATTTATTAGTAGTGGTGGCAAGATGACAGGTGAAATGGTGCGAGATAACGGGTGAAATGATTGAAGAAGTTTCATTTCACTGCATGTTGTAAGGAGGGATTACAACAATAATAATTCTTGCATTTGAGACAGCAATATTATGATATTATGTAGTCAAAACTTCTCAAAGCTCTCCACAGAATTTACTGTCAAGTGTAGTGACTGCGTAGTTATAAATAAAAATCTAGGAGGTCTTTTTATTTTGAAAAAGAAGAATATAAATGAACTGGGGTAAAAGCAACTGGAATAGACTACAGTAGTCACCTCCAGTGGATGAGCTTGATGATCCCAATAGCCTCTTCCTATGTCATTTCAATGATTCTATGAACAGAACATGCTTCCTCTTTACCTGGGCTGGGCTACATTCCATTCATTTTATCNTTTTTTAATTCAGGATAACTCATGTGCACATGTCCAATTCTACTCAAAGGATTTCATTTTATTTTATTGTTAAGAACCCTAAGGACAACACGACTATTCCAAAAGCAGACGTGGAGCAAGCCATCAGGTAATGCAAGTTCCCAAACTAGTGCTACTTTTGCAGAATTAAAGGGGAAGCTGCATTCCTAGCTTGTGAGAGTTCTTCTTAGACGATAACCCATCAGATCAGGAAAGAAAATGAGAGTGATGTTATGTCACATCGGTTGCTTAAAATGGATATTTTAAGGTAATTTTTCATGTTAAAAAGAACTGCCCAAGGTCATGTTTGAACCAACTATAACCTCTTCTCCAAGTGACACTGTCAATAGTTTGGTGCAACACTGGAGATTTTAGAGCAGAGGTAGCCAACCTGTGGTCCGTGGGCTGGAAGTGGCCCACATGGCCGTCAAGAAGCAATGGTTCCATCGGTTCTTTCAGCAGCCTCCTGCAAGCCGAGGTAGATACCAAGCACTGGCTATATGAACATGTGTCAAAACAATAAATAATAATAATAATAATAATAAATAATCTCATCTTTGCTGTCAACAGACGGTGGAAAAATAGAACGAGATCCACTGGCCAATTACCCTGAGCTAATCTTTATTCAACTGATAGCGAGAAATGTCTTTCATATCCATGAACCTCATTTTGAAGTATCCTAAAGATTCCAAATATTTCAATACTATTTTGCTTATTTTCTATCCCAATAGGATGAATAAACATCGGTTCAACAGTGCATTTTTACTGGATGATAAAACGCTGGAATTTGTGGGCATTCCCCCCACTCTTGCGCCTCAGAGTAAATCCTCGGTGACAGTCTGGCTCATCCTGTTTGGAGTGGTCATGGGCATGGTTTGCATCGCGCTAGCTTTGCTGATTATTACCGGACAGAGAGCTAAAAAACAGTAAGTAACTCAGATTGAGTTAAACTGGCATTGCATGAAGTGACCTGAAACACCACATTTGTAGACAGCAACGCCAATGGTAACTGCCAGTCGGTTCAGGTACAATCATTGGGTGAGGGTAGGGGCATTGCATTGACACGCAGGGTCATTCAATAATTATTAACTGCAGTTGTTAGTGATGTGATAATTATCATCTTTACGTAGGTATAATGAACACATCAGGCATTGCATTTTTCACGTCTAGCTTCATAGCATTGTTCAGCCCATAGTGTGTAGTGTGAAAGAACAATTTAGTAAATAGCTGGAGCCTACAATGATATGATCATTACTGATGCTATGTGCCTATTATTGTTGCCTGGTATTTAACGAGAACAAAGGCACAATAGCAAAAAGACTTGGTAGGACTCACGTTTTAGCTGATTGCTATTGAAGGTGCTCGAGAATCTTGCTGTTTCTAGTGTAATCCTCAAAAATTTAAAAATGATGACACGTATTTAAATAGGTTTCAGTATGTCATGTTTAACTGGAAAGTTCAAAACTCAGATTGACCAGTAAGGTTGAAGAGGAGGGTTTTGAGAATGTGCCTTGAAGGAGGCAAGGGAGGGAGCGAAGCAAAGGGAATGTGGGATGGAGTTCCAAAGGTTGAGGGCAGAAAGGCTGAAGGTCTGAGCGCCAGTGGTGGGGCTGACTGACGTGGAGCAGACCTCAGCCTGCTGAGAGGAGGTTGATATGGCGTTGCTATACAAATGTAATAAGTGGGTCAGTTTGATGCATTCAATATTTAGTGCTTCAAATATCCTAAATTCTGAATCCCTTCCCCCACCCAAAGCATACTATTCTCAATTTTGAGGTGTATGATGCTGAGCTAGTGGCATTTGACTTGCAAATTGTGGTCTTTCACTGATAATAATTTGTTTTAGTAAATTGCAAACTTAAAACATTAGCAGCTAAGTAGCAGCTAGGAGCCCAAATTAGAGAGACTGAAGTCTCGCTGTGAAGTTACAGCTTTACAGCATTGTGGATTTCAGATCTGCATAAGATTAATAGCTGAGGGTGACCCATGGTAAATTAATGATATCGCTGTTCTTTCCCTGATATAGGAAGGCGAAGGAAACAGATGTATATGAAAATCCTAGTTCAATCGAAGAACCTGATTTTGACAAAGGGGTAAAGAATTCAGCTTTTACCATTGAAGAATCATTGAATAATACAGCAATGTAAAAGGAAGTTATCAAGGCATTTTTCTGTAACGTAAGACTTTGTGCAATTCCTTTAGCCTTGTCCTATTCAAACTCCTTTACTGGAAGAATTAAATGAGTTTAAACGTCACAGTTAAAGTCCATGTCATTCCTGAAAACAGAATTCATGCGATTTTATCAGTCTAGTATTATATGTGCCTTGATTGGGCTGCACACAAAACAAAATCTCCAGTACCCCCCAAAGTCTCTGTTAAGATTACACTCGGGAAAAGATATAGCCCTAATAATGTCTAGATATGAATGCCCTTATTGTACAATGGAGGGTCACTGTGATGAACTAGATTTATTACTGTAGCTGGAATGTGAGCCATACTAACCCTGGGCCTGGTGTTCAATGAGTGACTCAAACCTAAAATGTGAGAAAGGACTACAGAAAGTTCAGGTTGAAATAATGCATCCTCTTGTCTACCATGTACTATCATGTGTTTGAGACCAGCTGAGAGAGAGTTGCACACTGCCTATCTATCTTCTATACTAATAAAACCTGTCTGTCTGTCTGTCTGTCTGTGTGCTTCAAGAAGGATTTAAATAACTGATCGATAAAGAGACATGATTTATATTGCACCAGAAAGGTCTTGCATCTAGGAGTGACATGGGCATATTTGACATGGGTATCTCCTATCGTTCATGAGTTATAACCTAAAATGTATTTCAGTTTCGCATTTTTCAGTGCAGTTACACCTGGTGGCTGCTGAGTCAAACTGGTGCTGTGGCATCATGCTTAACAGAGCACCTATGTACACACATACACTGCAGTTACACCTGGTGGCCGCGTCAGCTGACCATGGCGCTGTGGCTTCCTACGTCATAGAGCACGCATGTAGCCAAGCGGCGGCTGGAACAAAATAAAGAACACAGACAAAGCTAAGCCGATGCAACAAAAACAAAATTACATTTTTAAAGCGCCTTTCACGTGGGGAGGACTTCCCAGTGATTATAAATTATACATTGTATTCATCATTGTAAAGATGCCTAAGCAAAAATCAAACCTTTCAGGATAAGTAAAAATACTAGACAAAAGAGAGAAGGCCCATTAAATGAAACTGAAGAACAACGAACAGTGCGGCTATAATTCAATGCTGAAAGGACTGACACAGCATGCCAAGATGAGTTGACCACTCAAAGAATAGCAAAGCCAAAATGATTCCTCCCACAGGAGTCCTCCCAGATGAGTATAGATAAAGATGAAATGTCTGTTTGTGTGTTTGTCTGTCTGTCAATCTACATTCCATATTGGATCCTTTGGTTGCAAGAGTAGCTGCAACGGGTAGAGCTAGTTATTGATAATTTGATACCTGCCTCACAGTGACCCTTCCCTTGTTTTAAATTATTAGACCCAAATGGGTATATTTGGGTGACTTCACCTAATAATGGATTTTCCATGTATGGGAAGATTATTTGCTTTGCAAAGCAGTGTGGAAATACTGCAGTAATAATTTGATCTTCTCATCCATCCAAACACTATCTGGCTATCCAAAGAGGATGGGTTACTCTCTCCTGAGGAAGCATGAGATACCAAATGATATAGCCTGGTTCATTTTCAGTGGTAGTTAGGGAGGGAGGACGGGGGGCGTCTATTAAATTTTACAACCTCTTTGTATCCCACTTTGGGGGTTGCAGACCAATAAAAATATAAAGATCCAATTTCACAGAGTCCACATTATTCTCTCTCGATTTCCACCCAAGGTCTTCTAATGTATGGCTTATCCATACAGTTTACTGTGTTTGAAGTCCACATAGGAAGCAATTTTTACCACTGGTGAAAGTTAGCACCTTACCTCTTTCCTGAGGATGCTTTTTTTTTAATTCTCATTGTTAAATGATGCATAGAATTCTCAAGCTTTTCTTCCTCTCCCTGCTTGGAACATTCATGCTGTATTTCCTCCTTGTTATGAGATTCACTTCTGAAATCCTCTATCTTTCACCCTCTCTCTCTCTGCTCTGTAAGACATCACTTTGACTGTGTCTTCGGCAACCTCCTTCCCTTTTCTCCCTTGCAGTTCAACCTACCACTTGATCTTTGTAAGGCACTTTGAGACATTCTCCCTAAGTGAAAGGTGCTATTATAAGTACAAGTTGTGAATTGTTCACCAAAGAGCTATCCTGAACTTCCTGACACAGTCTGATCAGGAAGATGCTGACAGTTCTGAGACTGACCCACTGTAAGATTTCAAAAATGGCATTTCAGGTCCCTAGGGCATTCCAGCAAGCCTTAACCAGCTCAATTAGCTTTTACAAGAAATATCTGCTTCAATCGTGGTCAAATGACCAACTCATGACTACGCTCCTGGGAATAACTGAATTCAGTCACTATGAGCTGATCTCAGTATTCCAGTTCCTGATTCAAGTGAATCTGATGTACTCCAGGGCACTGCTGATGACAGCATAGCTCATCTGTAGGTCTTGGAGAGGCAGACCTATCACTGGGGCTAGGGATTCTTCCCGCTCAGCTCCTGTTAACCTTCCAAGTCAAACCCCACATAGGTAGAGTGGTCCCAGCTAGACAAGTAGCAGAAAGTTTGCTTGTAATCATAAAAGGATTTGATAGGGTAGATACAGAGAAACTAATTCCTCTAGTAGGGGAATCCAGATCAAGGGCATAATTAAAATTAGAGTTAGGCCACTTTGGAAGTGAAACTAGGAGGTAGTCTTTCACCCAAAGGGTAGTGGAAATCTATAACACTCCCTCAAAAGGCTGTGGATGCTGAATCCATTCACATCTTCAAGATTGAAGCTGATATCTATTTGTTAGGTCATTAAGGGATACGGGGCAAGGATGGGTATTTGGACTTGAGGTACAGATCTGCCGTGATCTTATAGAATGGCTGTTTCTATATTCATATGCCAGATATTGCATTGTATGGAAATCTATGTGGTTTTAGCTGGTTGAATTCTAGCAGTACCTGAATGCACAGAATGGAGTCTAACCAACCTCTGCCTAATACTCTTTGGAATTAGGTAAGCAGGAAATGTCCCTCTGGGACTCCATGTCCTTCTGTACTCCATTCCAAACACAGGAACTTCCATAAGTAGGTTGCATGCATGGAACTCTCAGTTTGGCTTGGATACCCTTAAGCATGATAATGGGTGGCTGTGTGTGTCAGACACCCGCTGACCAAAAAAATTAACTGAGGTCATGACTATTGAAACGGAAGGAATGAAAAGAGATGGTTATCTTGTAAAATGAATGGTTTCTCTTCATTTTTATTCAAAGGCCAGTTTCCCAACACATTACATATACATACAGTGGTAGAAATCAGATTACTTCCTCAGCGGATCACATTGCACCTTCTATTTACAATCATTGTGTGTTGTGTTAAAGAGCTGTAAAGCCTCACTGGGATTCTCAGCACTTGAACTGCAAAATCAACGATAATGGGTCTATTGTATGATTTACTTTAGAGCATTTTGTTCTGCCGAAAGCCACAATCCCACAAAGTGGGAGTGGAATGCCCAACCCTTGGCTACATGGAAGTCAGCATTGAGAACCGTGTCAGGAGAAGGAGGTGGAGGGGCTCTGGTTCCAGCACATCCGAGCAATTCCTATTTGAAGCTAATGCAATTTGCTATTTACACTCATTGTTGATGTTAGAGATTAAAAACCCCAAACCTGTCGATTAGAACTATTAAGACGAAAACATTATAGTATCAGCTAAAACATTTAGCTACCTGGGTGAGGTACAGGAATGTAATGGGGGCCTATTTGAAATGCCCTTTACTTGAAAGAAAAAGGAGTCCGACTCCTCCCAGAGAAAGGGGGGGAAAACATTGGAGGAGAAAAATGGAGGGGGGGAAATAATTTCAAGTGCTCAGTACTCCTCTTAACCTGCCAGAGCTGCCACTTTAAGCACGATGGCATGTGACCAACCTGAAACTTGAGCTTCATTTCCCAGGCTGTCACAGCACCATCAGAGACATGACGGGCTCACAGCCATGTCTGTCAATGGAACTGATCCTATAAAAGACAGGAGATCGCTGGAGTAAGTATTGCATTATAATTTAAAAAAAGGTCCCACTTCAAGAGAGATGTTATATAAAACAAGTAGAAATAAATATAATTCAGCATACTGCCTATTTAAACAACCACATTATACTTTTCTCAATTTCTGTCGAGTCACCTCCCGCCGCCCTACAAGACACTCAGGTTTTTACCAATAAAAAGACAAAATCTACATCCAGTGGTTTTTCTACAGTTCTTTTCATTTCAGCAATCCTTCTTGTTGTTTGGTTGTTAATGAACCATTGCCGGTATTTTGCTGATTCAAAGCTGCAACTTCCATCAAATTGCTGCTTCATGTAGAACATGAAATGCCAGTACGAGCTGTCTTTTCTGATACTTTTGAGGGATGTGGAGGTGCATTCCTGAAAGTATGAAATGAATATGTATCGATCATCCAGATTTGGAGCTGAGTTTAGTGGTCTGAGTTGGACAAGCATCGGGAAGATTGTCACTAACAGAATAAAAGCAGAATTTCGGAAGAACTTCTTCTCCCAGAGTATCATCAGGGTATAGAGTTTTTTTTGCCAGGGGTGAGCGTCAGAGTGGAGTCATTGGGATAATTTTAAAAAGAACTGGACGGACACCTGCAGAGATGTTAGAGGGTATGGGGAAAGAGCAGGGACCTGCGATTAGGAAGATGGCTTCTTCAAGGATAAAAAAGGGACCAGATGGCCTCCTATATGCTGTATATTTCTATGGTTCTAAGGGAAGCTTGCCAGTGTTTGCAAAGGCATGCTGTGTAATTTTAGCTGGTTAAAGTCCAGAGTACCGTAACATGCACTCTGGGCTCTTAACAACCTGTGCCAAATACTTTTGGGGATTAATTAAGCAGGGGGTGTCCCTCTGGGGAAAGAGTGTGGACTCCATTACAAATATAATTTACATTTATGCAATGCCTTTCACATTAGGAGAATGATTCAAAGCGCTTAACACAACTGACAGGGCACTCAAGGGAGAGAATGAAGAGGGTATGTATAACAACAACAACAACAACAACAGCTTGGATTTATATAGCACCCTCTACGCCGGATAGTGTGTCAGAGCGTTTCACAATAACGGATCCCGGGGCTGAGCCAGGGGGAGGGGGAAGAAGATGACCAAAGGAGCGGTCTAAAGGAAAGGTCTTCAGCCGAGACCTGAAAATAGGAAGAGAGGGGCGAGACAAAGGGAGTGAGGAAGGGAGTTCCAGAGCCTTGGGTTGTAGTGGCTGAAGGCACAGCCACCGATGGTGGAGCGGAGGATTCGGGGGACAAGGAGGAGGCCAGACCCCGTGGAGCAAAGACAACAGGCACTGTTGTGAGGAGAGAGGAGGTCAGAGAGGTAAGTGGGTGAGGAGGAGTGAGGGATTTGAAGACAAGAATGAGGATCTTGAAATCGATCCTCTCTGGGACAGGCAGCCAGTGCAGTCTGGCAAAGACTGGGGTAATCGGGGAGCGGAGTTTGGTGCGGGTAAGAATACGGGCAGCAGAATTCTGGATGACCTGGATTTTATGAATAGTAGTGGAGGGGAGACCGGTGAAGAGGGCATTTGAATAGTCCAGCCAAGAGGTGACAAAGGCATGGACCAGGGTTTCGGCGGCTTTTGGAGTGAGATATTGGTGGAGAGGGGCGATGCATCAGAGGTGGAAGAAAAGGTGCTGCTGAGGGACTGGATGTGGGGGAGGAAGGATAATTGGGGGTCAAACCTGACGCCTAGGTTGCGTACAGGTTCGGAGAGCTTTAGGGGGAGGTCAGGTAGGTGGACGAGATGAGAACCATGCGATTTAAGACGTTGACAAGAGACAAAGAGTATGGCTTCTGTCTTGTTAACATTTAGCTGAAGAAAATTCGCGCTCATCCAGCCCCTGAGATCTGACAGGCAGGCTGACAGAACATCAGGGGACTGGGGGTCGCAAAGTGAGGTGGAAAAATAGAGTTGGGTGTCATCCTCATACATATGGAAGTGTACCCCATATCTGCACTGACATCCCCAAGAGGGAGCATATAGATTAGGAAGATTAGGAGGGGGCCAAGGATGGATCCTTGGGGTACCCCGCAGGTAACGGGGTAAGAGCTGGAGGAAAAGCCATTTGTGGAGATGTACTGCTGGCGGTTCATGAGGTAGGACTCAAACTGGGTGGGGAAGGCTCAAGAAGATGACTGAAAGCAAAGAGATAAGTTTTGAGGCAGACTTTGTAAGTGGGGAAAGGGAGAGTCAGAAGAACTCTAGGAGTTCAGACAAATGGAGCACATGCATTTGTGGAGACTTTTTAAATATGCTGATCAGTTTGGCTGAGCAAAAAAAGGAACTGGGTTTGAATGTAGATTGACATTTATCTGGCCAAAGTTGAGGAGAATCCTGAATTGTGCAGAGGGAAGTTTTACATCTCTAAAATCCACAGAGTGAGAATTAGGACATTTGATGTGTTCATTATTATTGATAACAATGATATATGCAGTGGGGCCACATGGGCCAGTTTTGTCACTGATTGATTCACTGATTGAATGTTCCCAAAGCCATCCATATTTGCCATTGAACTTCCTGTCTTATGGAATGCATTGGAGTACATGTTCGTGAGATACTGGATTAACTGTGATTATTTGGGTTGAGTTAAACTAGTATTCTGCTAACATTAGTATTCTAATGCCTTGTTCCATGTGCTGGAAAATCCAACAACAGCTGTGGGCTAGTTTCAGGCCCGACCACTGTGATCAACTTGGGCAATGGGAAGGAGGCGGAGAGAGAGGGGTTGTCACACTCAAAAGTCTTTATTACCAACTGGCGATGTGATAAATGTCACCAGTGCTGATTGACATAGCACATAGCGCAATTTTCAATTCTCATGTTTCAAAAAACATTGCCCTAACCATTGACGTGTTGAGTGCTCTGGTGGTAATCGCAAGGGAAGCAACAAAATATGTGGAGTAGCATCTGCATTCCTGTACAGTTTGAAGCATGGGTCAGATGAATCACTCACCTCTATTCTCAGCAGGACATTGTTTCCTTCACAGTGACATGCCAAGAAGCAGTTTGTCTTCAAGAAGTTGAGCACTACAGGGATCCCACCAAATGGGTTTGGAATCACATTGCTTTTATAATAGAAAACAGTCATCTGAGCTATGAGAGGAAAAGGCAGACAGTGAGATGAGTCTCTGCTAAGTCCCTTGCCAGCTCACCTTTGGGTGAGAAGGTTATGGGATCAAGTCCCATGTTGGAACTTGAGCTGCTAATCCTGATTGACATTCCATCCCAGTACTGTGCTTTGCTGCTTTATTGGGTTTGTCCTTTCAATGAGATGGTAAACTGAGGTTCTGTTCAAATGAACATTAAAGATCCTGTTGACGCTACTTGAAAATGACACCAGATTTTCTTCACATCCAAGCCAACAATTCTCTGGTAAATTGATCATTCATCAAATAGCAGGTTATGGGGCTTGATAGTGTTACCCATGAAGTACTTTCAATATAATAATAATAATAATAATCCTTACATTTGATGCAATACATTATCATGTCTTCGAGACGTCTCAAAGTACTTCACAGAATATACTGTAAAGTGAATTCACTGTATATTTTGTGGGCGAAACGCAGCAGTGAAATACTCATAACAGAGTCCCACGAACAGTTGTGGATTGAGTGACCAATTAAAAAAATTTTTTAAAAAGAAATTACTACCCCTGGAAAAGCGATCCGCCAATCGACTAACAACCGGGGTCCTACTTAGTGCTAGGTAAACAGAGATGTGTGAAGTAAGGAAACTTGCTCAATGTTTTGCCCTGCTGGGAATCAAATCTATGCCTCTTGCTTGCGAGGCGAGTGCTCTAACCACTGAGCTGCAGGTCTCCAAATGGATTATGTAAATGAGTTCAAACAGTGTTACCTACCAGAATCAGAGTCCTGGCGACTGAGGACTATCTTTTTGCGCTCATTGCCAGGTCGTAAGCATTGATCATACTCGTTCCGAATTAAGTACGGACAGTCGCTCCTCACCACCTTCATTATCATCTCACAGCAGTCTTTGGGAGCCAGTGTTTCTGTGGACAGAATATTGGTGTTACAAAAAATACTTGAGGTCTTTGTGTCCGAGGCATTTGTAAATTGGTATCTAATATATAGCAACTTATAAAAAGGTTTCTGAATATTGAATTCTTTATGTATCTAGATGTACCCCAATGTAAACCAATGATACTTTACTTGAATGATGACCTCCAGTTCACTTCCAAGAACGTGTATTGCAGGAGATCAGCTAAGATCATCAAATGGAGTTCCAGTTTTTGGTGTGAGACACATCCAGATATATACAGGATTCAATATTCCATTTTTTTATGAATTAATGTGTATTAGACCCTAAAGTTTGATGCACATTGATTTAGAAGCATTGGGTATTCACTCAAGTAACAATATTTTTCATTACCATTCTGAGGTAGAGGACAAGAGATATATGAAGGTTAAAACAAGAATTAAAGTTAAAAGACTTGAAATTAACAAAAAACATTCCTGAGCCAGAGGTGAATTTGGGTTCAAGATGATGGGTCACAGTGGCTATCATCTGAGGGACACATATGTTTTATATATCTGTTTAGGTTGAAAATCACTTAGCTTATCAATATATTAGCATTTGACAATAATAATAATAATAATCCTTGCATTTGATATAGCGCTTTTCACGTCGGGAGGACGTCCCAAAGCGCTTCACAGAATATACTGTAAAGTGAATTGACTGTATATTTGTGGGCGAACGCGGCAGCCAATTGCGCACAGCAATGTCCCACAAACAGTCGTAGATTGAAAATGACCAATTTATTATTGTTTTTTGGGTTTTTTGGAGGGATTATTATTAGGCGTGTGGAGTAAGGAAACTTGCCCAAGGTTTCGCCCTGCCTGGAATTGAACCCAGGTGTCTTGCTTGCAAAGCAAGTGCTCTAACCACTGAGCTACAGGACTCCAAGTGTAAAGGAGACATGATGGATGCAATAGATTGGTGCCTCTTGGTCTGGGTTAACCATAAATTAAGTGGTTTTATGACTCCAAAATTTATTTTTATGAATTCTTGACACTTGGGACCAGGTGTCTAAAGTGGTGTGAAGGAACGATTGGATTAGTTTGGGAATGTGATTGGCTAAATGAAGAATGGAATATGATTGGACAAAATAACCTTTGAATTCCATTTTTGGTTGTAAAGGTCGCAAGAACTAAATTGGGGTATACAGGTGGTGGTGGTGGAGGGTGGTTGAGCTAAATTTGGGGAAGAGAGCAAGGGTCGGAGTTGGATTAACACCTGAACTAACACAACTCAAATCCTGAAATTTTGAAGGGGTAAAATTAGGTAAGGTCATGTCTTCTATATTTCTCGAGAGGTCATGGTTTAGGGAGGCTCAGTAGTTCTTAAAAATATAAGATTTCATGATATATTAAAGTCTGTTTAAGCTAAGTACTGTGTTGCATTTGGGAAAGTTATTGTTTACTGGTATTTGTTGGAATAAATGAGAATAATTTAAGAGAGCGAATGTGTTGTGGATAGTTTGTGAGATTGCTCTGACTGGGCTTGTATCTTTGACAACAATGAGAAGTGAAGGATTGTGACTTTCAGAGTGCACCTGAAAGGAGCGTGTAACTCACGCGTAAAGAAAAGCGATAAGAGTACTGTGAGACCATGTTATATAATTTTGAAGGAATGGAAAAAATTTACACCTAAACTGTATGGGTCCCATGTATGAGTCTGGTGTGGAATGGCCAGATGAGCAATAAACCTTTCTCCTCTTCTGGACAATGTACCTTAAGAGAGCATTCAGGCTATGTTGTGTTGGCTGTCTGAAAGAACCATCTGTTTAGATGGATTCTCCAGTGTTTTCCCCATATAGATTCACAGAATGTTACGGCACAGAAGGAGGCTATTCGGCCCATCGAGTCTGTGCCGGCTCTTTGACAGAGCAAGTCACTTTCACTAACCCCAGTCACCAGCTTTCTCCCCATAACCCTGCAAACCCGTCTTCCCCAGATACCTATCCAGTTCTCTCTTAAAAGCTATTATCGAATCGGACTTCACTACCCTTTCAGGCAGATCATTCCAAATTCGAACAACTCGCTGAGTGAAAAAATTTCTTCTAATCTCCCCTCTGCTTCTTTTGGTAGATATCTTAAAACTGTGACCACGGATCACAGTCACACCTACCAGCGGAAACAGCTTTTCCTTATCTAGCCTGTCGAAACCTGTAATGACCTTGAAGACCTCTATCAGGTCCCCGCGTAACCTTCTCTGCTCTAATGGGAAAAGTATCATCTGCAAACTTGGAAATAATGCTCTCTATGCCCAAGTCCAGATCATTAATATATATTAGAAGGAGCAGTGGTTCCAATACCGATCCCTAGGGGACACTGCTGCACACCCCCTTCCATTTCGAGAAACACCCATTAACCACCACCCTCTGCTTTCTGGCACTCAGCCAGTTCTTAATCCAAACTGTCATTGTCCCCTTAATACCGTGGGCCTCTATTTTTTTATTAATCTCTTTTGTGGAGTCCTGTAGCTCAGTGGTTAGAGCACTCGCTTTGCAAGTGAGAGACCTGAGTTCAATTCCAGGCAGGGCGAAACCTTGGGCAAGTTTCCTTACTCCACACGCCTAATAATAATCCCTCCAAAACCCAAAACAATAATAAATTGGTCTTTTTCAATCTACCACTGTTGTGGGACATTGCTGTGCGCAATTGGCTGCCGCGTTCGCCCACAAATATACAGTCAATTCACTTTACAGTGTGTTCTGTGAAGCGCTTTGAGATGTCCTCCTGACATGAAAAGCGCTATATCAAATGCAAGGATTATTATTATTATTATGCGGTACTGTGTCAAAAGCCTTTTTGAAATCCATGTAAATAACGTCCACCACATTTCCCTCATCAACCCTCGCAGTCACCTCTTCAAAAAATTTTATTAGATTTGTTAGGCAAGATTTGCCTTTAACAAATCCATGTTGGCTGTCTCTAATTACCTCATGTTCCTCTAAGTAGAGATTTATTCTGTCCCCGATTATGGTCTCCAGTAGTTTTCCTATTACCGAAGTTAAGCTGACTGGCCTGTAATTTCCGAGTTTGTTTTTCTGCCCCTTTTTGTAGAGGGGTGTAACATTAGCCACTCTCCAGTCTCTTGGCACCACTCCTGTGTCCACTGAAGATTGAAATATAATGGCCAAAGCCTCCGCTATTTGAACCCGTATCTCCCACAGCAACCTTGGGTGAAACCCATCTGGTCCTGGTGACTTATCAATTTTGAGCCCAGTCAATCTTTTCAGAACTTCCTCTCTGTCTATAGTAATCTGATCTATTTCCTCTACCTCTCATCCAATACTGCGGCATTTGGGGCATCCATTTCCTTTGTGAAGACAGATGCAAAGTACTCGTTCAGTACATCAACCATGCCCTCTGCCTCCACAACAAGATTGCCGTCATTGTCTTTGATTGGCCCCACCCTACCTTTAACTAACCTTTTTTCCTTTATGTGCTTGTAAAATAATTTAGGATTCCCCTTTATGCTACCCGCTAACCTCTTCTCATGCGATCTTTTAGCCTGTCTTATCACTCTTTTAAGATCACTCCTGCACTCTCTATAATGCTTTGCTATCCTCAGTATCTTGCGTCTTCCAATTGTCATACGCCGTCTTCTTCTTTTTCATCCTAGGCAGAATATCCCTGGTCATCCAGGCTGGCTTGGTTGTCACACATTTCCCTTTTGTGGGAATATATCTATTTAGACCTTGAGCTATCATATCTTTGAAGATCTCCCATTGCTCATGAGTCGTTTTACCTGCTAGTCTTACTTGCCAGTCCACCAACTCTAGGTCCCTTTTTAGCCCATCAAAATTAGCCCTTTTCCAGTCAAGCATTTTCACCCTTGACTGTACTTTGTCCCTGTTCATGAGTAATCTAAATCTAATAATATTATGGTCACTGTTACCTAGATGCTCCCCTACCGAAACCTGTTCAACCTGACCTATTTCATTCCCCAGGACTAGATCCAGCAATGCTTCCTTCCTCGTAGGACTGGAGACATACTGCTCAAGAAAATTTTCCTGTACACAGTTTATGAATCTTTCTCCTGCCTTGCCCTTAGCGCTGCTATTTTGCCAGTCTATATTGGGATAATTGAAATCCCCCATTATCACAACTCTGTTCGCCTTACATCTATCCGCGATCTGGTTGCAGATCTGCTCCTCTATCTCCTTCCCGCTGTCTGGTGGTCTATAGTAAACCCCTATCAGTGTAACCACTCCTTTCTTATTTCTTATCTCTAACCAGATGGATTCTGTTGTCGGGCCCTCCAGAGCCTCGTTCCTTTCTACAGCCATAATTTTATCCTTAACTAATATTGTCACCCCTCCTCCTTTTCTTCCTTCTCTATCCTTCCTGAACACATTATATCCTGGAATATTTAACTCCCATTCCTGTCCTGGCTTGAGCCATGTCTCGGTTACTGCCACCACATCGTAACCCCCTACGGCCAATTGAACCTGCAGCTCATCAACCTTATTCCCTAGGCTACGTGCATTTAGGTACATGCATTTGAGGAAATTGTCCGCTTGTACCTGCTCTACACTTCCCACTTGTCTTTTTCCTCTAATCCATTGTTTATCCTTGGATACCCATTCCCCCTCGACACTGGTTTAAATCCATCCCTACAGCATTTGATAATCTCTTGTCAGATAATCTCTTGGCAAACATATCCTTTTATGTTTTTCCTTTGCAAATATTTATCTAATGCCATCTCAAAGCTAATATAAATTCTATCTCAACCATCGTTCTTGGCAACTTTCTGTGTAACAATTTTTTTCCCCTAACCCCACTCTTTGCTCTTTCGGTAATTAAGTTAAATTGATGCCCTCTAGTTCCTAACTGATCCCAGTGTGTGTCATATCTGAATAAAATCCTATTTAGTGTTACATGCAACATCAAGGGTGATGTTGGCAATAATTATAGAATTTCCCATTAGAGATGTGCATCTCCTAAAATGATCTACATAAACCAAGACATTATTCTACATGAAGAGTGCTGTACAACACAACTTGTTGTTATTGTATATTATTCTTATTCTGAAATTATCCAACAGTTTTATTGTCTTTCTAAGATTCTGTGTTTCTAACTTAACTCTCCTCAAATACATAGATTTAATTTCTATATCATTTATCTGCTTCAAGGCCATAACATTTGACACTGTATTGATGGTGATAACCCATTGCAAAAGGCTGCCTAACTTTCAATTGTTGGCTTATAAATGACGAGATTTACAGAAGGATGAGCAAATAGCAAATTCTGCATGGATATTGTACGATGTCGTAGTCTGACCCTCTGAAACTCCACTCAGAAGCTGATCGTTCCAAAGTCTGGTCCCCAAGTGAAGTTCCAACAGGTTAACCATGATATATTCAGGATTTTCTATTTACAACTTTGATTGAGATAGTAAACTTTGGTGTTCCTACATGAGGTGATTTTTAAATCAAATCACCGCAAATAGAAACAATTGGAGCAAGAATAGGCCATTCCATTTGGCCCACCGAGCCTGCTCTGCCATTTCCATGGATGAAGGCTCATCTGTAACTCAATCCTTTACATGCATTTTCTCCATTACCCTTACTAACCAAATATTTAGTTATTTCCGTCTTAAGCATTATCATTGACTTTGCTTTAACAGTCCTTTGAGGAAGTGAATTCTACAATTCCATGAATGTCTTTCTGAGTTCACTACTCACAGGCCTTTTTTTTAGATTATGCCATCTTGTTCCGGATTCTGTAAAGAATCTCTCCTTAATCAGCCCTGTCATTTACTATCTTACTTAGCAGCAAGTAAAATATTACACTCTGTATTACACTCAAGTTTCCTTAGTCCACATGCCTCTGTTTACCTAGCAATAAGTAAGAACCCAGTTGTTAGTCGATTGGCGCATCCCTTTTCCGGGGGTAATAATCCCTTCAAAAAGATATTAATAATTTGGTCACTCAATCCAAGACCGTCTGTGGAATACCACTGTGTGAAATTAGCTACCACATTTTTCCCACAAAATATACAGTCAATTCACTTTACAGTATATTCTGTGAAGCGCTTTGAGATGTCTCGAAGAAATGATAAAATGCTATATCAAATGCAAGGATTATTATATCTGGGAGTGGAATACGGATTATACTGCAAACCATTAATTTAAAGTATACCACTTGTGTCCTTTGGATCAAATTACTAATATATATTTTTAAAATGACTTTATTAACTAAGGTCATTTGCCAGTTGTTAACGGATCCAGCACTTGTCTAGCTAGGACTGTCCAAGCTGTTCCACCACAATAAATTATTTCTTTTGAAAACTCAGGGCAATTGAGCAATATAAGTCAATCTCCAGTGTAGATTTAGTGCTCATCCCTCCCTATCTGTTATTGTTAAGCATCCAGGAATATTTGAGGACAGAAAGGGCAACATTATCTTGTTTTCGCTCTCTTAATCCGCCTAGAGGAGTACCTACTTACTGCTATGTAAACAGAGGTATGTGAAGTAAGGAAACTTGCCTAACATTTCGCCCTGCCCAGGGATCGAACCCAGGGCTGGGGGAAACGATTGTAGTGATATCCTTACATCATCTTTCGTAATATTCTGTGAATGAAGTGCTTTGAGAAGTCTCAATGCCAAGATAGGGCTATATCAAATGCAAGTATTATCAAATGCAACGATTGTTATTATATGATAAGAACCTGTTAACCACCCATTAGATTCAATTACGGTGTATTTGAAACTAAGGGCTAGAATATCAAAACACATCCACACTGCATGTAACTGCTGGGATAAAAATAATCGGAAGGAAAGCACTAACCTTGTACACAATACACCTCTGCTTTAGCTTCAGACCTCACATGAATTGTGTGCAATTCACAATCATTCTTGTTACAAATGGAACATACTTTTCCCTGAGGACGTTTGGGGCCCCTTCCTTGCACAACAGAAATTGCAGCGTGGCTCAGTGCCACAAGCAGCCCCTGTGTTTTATCGCAGCCTCCAGAGTCTCCGTTCTGTTCCTCTTCATCAGTTGAGGTTCTGTCATTGTGTTGAGGTATGATGGGCAGTTCTGGACCTGTATAACCTTTGAACTTTCTTGTTGTTTCGTCAAATGTCGATGTGCCTTCAGGACTTGCAGGTGTTTCCAGGCTTTCCGCCTTCCTCACCATTTGATACCCAAACTGGAGGAATATTTTACGTTTATCATAGGGACAGTATATGTTTTCATCGGGTTCATCACTGTCCCTTGGCTGGACAATGTCCCTGGGTCTATGAAGAGTCTGCGGATCATAAACACAAAATCTCCTTTTAATATTCAATTAAAATGACTTAAAAATCAAACTAACAAATGTTTATTAAGATCTCTTTAAATATGTAAGGTATATATACAGTTATGTGCATAGCCTATTGAATGGAGACATTTCATTGGGTCTCTTACAAAGATGTATAAGATTAATGAGATTCAGAAAACAAATCCAAATCATTACATTAAGATATGCTGAGGTGGCAGACAAGAAGCCATAACCTCAAAGCTGTGAAGGGTAATTTTAGGACAGAAACCAGTGAAGTGTTGCATTATAAGGTTGGTATTCAATGAATAGTGCACGTTAGCAGGAAAGGTGTTTGAGACCTAAGAAACATCTAAGAAACAGTTTGATGCAATATTGAAAAAAATATTAGGGCTGGTATTTTCAAAGGGCGAAATGAAACGGGCCAAAGAGTCCTCTTGATCCTAATCATAATCTTTGCATTTGATATAGTGCTCTTCATGTTAGGAGAACATCTCAAAGTGCTGTGTATTTTGTAGACCCATCACTGCATCAAACTGCTTTTTAAATGAGTCTAATGTCCTGGCCTCAACCACCTTTCCTGGCAACCTCTTCCAGTGGTTGATTGGACTCTGTGTAAAGAAAACTTTTCTGGTGTCTGTCCTGAAAATGCCCTTTACAACTCTAAACCTATATCCTCTTGTTGTACTGCCATGATACATCCTAAAGTATTGATCTGGGTTTAATCCCATTTTAAAATGTAGTACATCTCTATGAGGTCCCCTCTGAGTTGTTTTCTCTCAAGACTGAAGAGCGCTAACTTATCTAATCGTTCTTCGTAGCTCATTTCTGTAACAGTGGAGATCATTCCCGTTGCTGTTCTCTGCACTGACCTTAGGTGTCAGGATAGCCCCCTTATGTCATGGTGACCAGAACTGTATGCAGTATTCATTGTGCAGTCTGATCAGAGCATTGTAACTGCCTGAGAATGAGATCCGGGGATCTAAACTCAACTGATTTAACAATATAGTCCAGGGTCCTCTTTGCCTTGTTTATTGCTGCCTCACACTATTTTGACATAATGAACGACAAGTCGACTAACACCCCTCGATTCAGTATTGCCTTTTACATACACTCCTAATTTTATCATACAAGAACAAGTCATTCTCCCTGCTTTGTTATGGCGATCTATAGCAAATCCTAAATGCTCATCTAGACTTTTTCCCTCTTCAGCACTCATCTAACCAGGAAATTTCATACCATTATTTATCCTGCAGTGTTGGCCTCCCAGATGCCCATTATATACATGGAAACTCCTCCACCTTTCCTATCTGATCCCCTCTGATCTTTCCTGATTAGCTTGTATCCTTGCAAGTTATATTCAACCACAACAATAACTACATTAAAAACAACTCCATGGCCTCGCCCCACCCTAACTCTGCGACCTTCTAACCCCCTACCAACCCGCCTGCTTTCTCCGCTCAGCTGGCTCTGGCCTGCTCCACGTCCCCCGACCCATCTACCCCACCATTGGCGGGAGAGCCTTCAGCCACTCTGCCCCCAATCTCTGGAATTCCATCCCCCAATCACTCTGCCTCGCCCCCTCCTTAGCCTCCTTCAAGTCCCACCTCAAGACCCTCCTCTTCAACCATACCATCAGCCACCCCCTTCCTCTCCCCTCCCTTCTCCCTCCCTGACCTCAGCTCGGGTCTGAAATGCTGTACACTGTCCAGCGCCTTGGGACGTCCTCCTTACATGAAAGGCACTATTTAAATGTAATCTTGCTGTTGTTATATAGTGCCCTTCATGCTGGGTTTAGCCATGTCTCTGTGATTCCTACCACTTCGTACTTACCCATGGCCACCAGTGCCTCTGGTTTGAATTTTATTTTGGATTCTTCTAACATGCACCTACTTGTATACTTTCCCCCTTTAACCTTCCTGCCTAGTCTTGCTATCTAGTGCTTTCTGGCATGCTTGCACTCTTGATTTAATTATTTACCATATTTTCTGGTCTATAATGATTTAAATATTTCTTGTCTCTTCCTGATGATGAGGCCTCCATTTAGTTTCCGTTGTCATTTCCCCTCTAAATTGCAAGCGGAACCCAATTTATACTTGAATCAGCTTTTGCTGCTACATTAGCCACTATCTTGGTTTCCTGACTAACTGGCTGAACCTGAGAACAGTTGTAAAGAGCTCTTTCATGTCAGTGACACATGGCAAAGGGTGAATCAGAAGTGAATCCTCTGGTACGTATTAGAGGACACAATGTCAAGATGCTCTGAACAGCTTGGCCCATTTTAGGGTCTCTATTGTCTTGACTTCACTTATGTTTTCTAACCCTATCCTCCACCCCATCGCACGTCCACACGCATGCGCACATGCACACACACACACACGCACACACACAAATAAGGAAGACATTGCAGAATCCAGAACTGGAAGTAGGATCTCTGTTTCTTTGAATTCCAGCTATTAAATCCAGGAGTGCCAGCCACCTGGCTGATCAAAATCTCTTCTGGTTTTAGCCTTAAGCGTATTGTGACGCTACCCTTTTTTGAAGGGCACAATATAAATGCAAGTTGTTTTTAAGATGACTGGGTTAACATTTTCAAAATTTGAAAATTCTAAAATACAGTCTTATTTGGGAAGCTGGTTTGCTGTTTTTCAAATATCAAACCTACCATCTTTCTCAAAATGATAATTTGTTTCATGGCTCTTTGTGGGACATTGCTCTGCGTAACTGGCATTTTGCCCACAAAATACACAGTCTATTCACTTTGCAATATATCCTGTGAAACGCTTTGAGACATCTCAACGACGTGTTAAGACGCTATAACAAATGCAAAGGATGAATATTATTATCCATATAGTGCCATTCACGCGGGGTAATGTCTCAGAACGCTTAAGCCTCAGTACATCCAATGCAGAAATTCACTCCCCAAGCTGTGCGTTGGTCACTCACCATCAGGAAGGAGCTGTCTGTCAGTAACTCAGCCAGATCCTCAGGTGGGAAGGCTGATGCATTATTTTCATTCACTTCCAACAAGCAGTCCCCCTTCCTAAAACATAATCACATAATAATTCATGTTTAGCATTGCGCTTGTCAAGTTATCTCAACACATTTTTTAAAAAGTATTTTTAATAGCTTCCATTTGAGGAACAGGTCACCAAAGTCTCAGCTATCTCAAGCATGAAACGCATCAGCGCCTCAGGAACTTATATTCTTGGTTATAATTTCAAAAGTATTGATTTTCTAAACTGCTAAGAGCAGGATCACATTGTTAGGTGGTGATAAACATCCTAGTGATACTTGCAGTTTAATAAAATCATGAGGCAATTTAAAGTAAGCAGCTCCTGTAATGCATAGACAAGGCAACTTCATCATGAACAGAAGACATGAACGCATTTCCATATAATTTTTCTTGAAATAAAGCAGTTAATTCTGCATCTGCAAGCTTCCTATATATAATAATAATAATCCTTACATTTGATATAGCGCCTTATCATGTCTTTGAGACGTCTCAAACCTCTTCACAGAACATAGTGCAAAGTAAATTGACTACATTTTTGGGCGAAACATGGTAGCCATTTGCGCACAGCAGCGTCCCACAAACAGTCGTGGATTGAGTGGTCAAATTATTATTTTTGCTTGGAGTAGCAGGTGGGATGCTACAAGTGGCCTCAGAGCTCTGGATTTGGGAAGGGAAAATCAGTTAGTCTTCACTTCACAAGAAACCCAGAAAACTCCAATGCAATGGGCATGTGAACGGACACAGCATTGGACTTGCCTAGTTTTGGCGCAACTAACCAGCCAACATTCACTGCCACATGTGAGTAATGGTCACTCCGGTGAGGTACTGGAGTGTGTCACCCCGTAGAAGAGGAAAAAAGAGTCAGGTGCTTCATGGAGAGGAAGAAATAAGAGGGAGAGCACAAATATACATATTAATATTACTTACTATGAATAAATGATTGAATCGGAAAACATGTTAACTCAATTTATATTTCAGTGCGTATCCAAAAGCAACTCCTCCCCATCTTCTGTTCCGTGACTGTCTCCAGATATTTAGAGGGCAGCTTACCTGAACAAAGCGGCACAGGCAGAGTTCTTGTAATGTGTGACTCCCTGAAACTCATAGTGGTGTCTTCCCTCCACAATACTGTGGTGAATCACTGCTCCTCCTTTCGCAGAGTTTGTGATCTTTGAAAATAAAAAGGATTTTGTGGTCAATCTCCTCATACATAAAAATGAAAATAACTCCTATTTTGCAATAACAATACTAACTAATTTTTCTATTTGATATAGCACTTCATTGCATTGTTGAGGGGTCTCAAAGCGCTTCACAGAATATACTGTAAAGTGAATTGATATATTTTGTACGCGGCAGCCAATCGTGCACAGCAGTGTCCCACAAACAGTAGTGAATTGAATGACTAAATTATTATTATTAAATTTATTAAATTTTTTAACTGGAATACTATCCCCAGGAAGCAATCTGTCAATTGATTAACAAGCGGGTGGAGTAAGGAAACTTGCCTAAGGTTTCGTCCTGACCAGTAATCGAACCCGGGTTTTCTCGGTTGTGAGGCGAGTGCTCTAACCAATATGCTACAGGACTCTACACCCAGTAATTTTACCAATATTAAGCATCGTTCTTGATGTTCCTTACCTTTGCCATGATATCTTTGCCTCTGTGTTCTCTCTACGTTTGCCTTCCCCTTTATCTGGAGATCTAAATCCACTTTGGTCATGTGACTGGAACACAGATGAGATCATGGAGTTTCATTTCCATCTTTTTGCTTTCATCCACAGATGTCAGAATTTCCATATTTGCTGTACATTTGGAAAAAACACATTTATTTAAAAGCATCTGCACCTACAAGAGAGTAACATTTCCAATGTCCCGTAAACTGTACCAAACACTAAGAACGTGGTTAAGGTTTGAGGTTGAGGTTTTGGAACACTTAAGAAAACGTGTCTCGGCAGGAGCTTGTAGTATTCAACAAGAAGAGATTTCATATATTTAATGGTAATAGTAATATTCCTTGCATTTGGAATAGTTTCTTTCAGTCAAGAGGACATCCCAAGTGTTTCACAGGATTTACCGGAAAGCGTAGTGACCGTGACTGTGTATTTTTTTAGATGAATGCAGCAGCTCAATTGCACACAACAATTTCCCACAAACAGCCACAGACTATGACTAATTTTATATGGGGGATTGTTGGGCAGGACACAAACTCCCTTTTTTGTATAGTGCTTTCCCCCACTTTCCCCCCCATCTCCCAGCACTGCATTGATGTGTCAGCTTAGACTATGTCAATTCAAGTCCTAACGTAACAGTCTCACCTCATGGGCTTCATTTTATTATTATTTTGAATAATTCTTGTTGCACTGAAGTTTCAAATGATTAGCTTTGGCACCTTCAGTATTTTGAGCCCTTTGGTCTTGTTTGATTGTAGTCATTGCTAAACCGGGGATCCTGTTAACCCTGCAAGCCAAGGCCCTAACGGGTAGGGTGGTCCTAGCTGGACAAGCAGTGGGAAAGCTTGCTAGACAGCAATAGTCATTGCTAAACTGAGGATCACACCCACTAATTGGATGTTTTTAGACTGGGGGGGTTTCTGTCGGAATTTCTCTGACAACAGCTAACTAGAACTTTAACTTCCACCTCAACGGATAGACCAGACCTTGGATTAATGTCTCATCTGAAGGACGGCACATCGACAATGCAGCATATCCCCAGCACTGCATTGGAGTGTCATCTTAGACTATGTGAGTTCAAGTCCCTATGTGGGGCTTGAACCCACAACCTTTTGACCATGTGGCGAAAATGCCTCTGAGCCAGGCTGACATTTGGAAATGAATGTGCATGTATGTTTAGTTGCTACTACTGAAATTATTTTTTATATATATCAGGGACTACTGTGGATCTGTCCGTTTTTCATGTCACTTTCTGAAGTCAGTATCTGGTTGTAATAACAAGCTCATGCTACTCCTGTATTTAATAATAAATTTGATGCAGAATAAGCCATTGCATTGTTTTCTGCAGTGAGAGATAATAACCCGCTAACCAGCAATCCAAGGTGATGATCCACAAACTTGAAATCTAACGCATGTTGAGGTAATCTTTTCAGTTGTGTGTATTGAGAAGTTGTCAGAATGTGATTACTGGTTTTCATGACCACAATAGATTCAGTCCGACCTCAACGTGTTTCATTTGGTATAACACATGTCTCTGAGTCAGAAGGTTGAGGGTTCAAGCTTCATGTTGGGAGTTTTAATGTACATAGTCATTCTAATGTTAATGTCCAGGTGACATGTCTGGCAATGGAATGTCAGAATCGAGCCAACCCACTGTGGCCATCTCAGTAGTCCGGTTCCTGAGCCAGGCAAGTCCGCAGATTCCAGGGCACTGCTGATGACAGCACAGCCAGCCTGGTTCATCTGCAGGACCTGGAAGGGCAGACCAGTCGCTGGAGGCAGGGAGTCATCCCACTCACCTCCTGTTAACCCTGCAAGCCAAAGTCCTAACGGGTAGGGTGGTACTAGCTGGACAAGCAGTGGGAAAGCTTGCCGGACAGCAATATCAATGGCAAGGTTTTAGCTGGTTAGACTCCAGCAGAACTCCAACGCACACTCTGGGGTCCCCAAGCCTTGGCTCTTGCCAATCTGCACCTAATACTTTCCAGAAAAGTCCCTCCAGGGAGAGAGTATGCATTCCATTCAAACAATCTATCTCTGGGATTTACATGTGTAGGTGGGATGCATGGAAATCTCAGCTCGGTTTGGATACCCTTAGGCACTGTGATGGGTTTCCACACGTGTCAGACATCCGGCTGACCAAAAAAAATCATTACAATGCAGTGCTGTTAGAGGTAGTGTTCTTTGGATGAGACGTCAAATGGAAGATCCCGTCTACCTATTCAAGTGAATGTTAAAGATCCCATGGCACCATTCAAAAAGAGAAGGGAGTTTCTCCCTGTGTCCTGGCCAACAAGCCCCTGGATAAAATTAGTCACTCACTTCAAGGCTGTTTGTGGGACTTTGCTGTGTGCTAATTGGGCAGCCACATTCACCTACAAAATACAGTCACTGCACTTTACAGTAAATCATGTGATACTTTGAAACATCCTCCTGATGTGAAAGGTGCTATATCAAACAGAAGGATTATTATTATTTTTATATTTAATGTGTTTCTCCACTCTACTACAATGTTGATCCCATAATCTTTTTGTTGTAAGTATAGGCCGTGCCAGTTCTTTTACAATTTATTTTTGTTCAATTCCAGGTAAAGTATAACATAACATGTAGGAGCAGGAGTAAGCCATTCGGCCCTTCAAGCCTGCCCCGCCATTCAATCATGGCTGATCTTCTAATCTAACTCTAGCTAATAACCTGACCCTGCCTTATCCCCATATCCCTTAATCCCTTTTTCAATTAGAAATCTATCTATCTCAGTCTTGAATATGTTCAAGGATTGACCATCAACAGCCCTTTGGGGTAGTGAGTTCCATACATTCACCACCCTTTGAGTGAAGAAGTTCTTCCTCAACTCAGTGCGAAAGGGCTGGCCTCTGATTTTAAGGTTGTGGCCCCTGGTTTTAGTTTCTCCAACCAGGGGAAACAATCTCCCACTATCTACTCTATCATGCACTTTGATGATCTTATAGGTTTCTATAAGTTCCCCTCTAATTTTTCTATATTCCAGAGAATATAGACCAAATTGGTCAGCCTCTCCTCGTAACTCAACCCCTTTATCCCTGGTACTAACCTAGTAAATCTACTCTGCAACCCCTCCAAGGCAAGTCCATCCTTCCTTAAATGAAAGATCGACAACATGAGAGAAAAAACCCTACATTTTATATTATTTCTGAAGTTGGTTTTCAGCAGAGGTAGTTGCAAAGGAGCATTTGTTCCTACCACCATTGTTAGTTGGGTTTAGTTTAACTTTGAATGAGATAACTAACTTTGAATGAGATGACTGTAACTTTCATTGCAATGTTTGGGGTTAAACTACAATAAATAACCTCAAAGTGTTGGATGTACTAACACTGTTGTTTAAAGCTGAAGAATCGTTGCTAATAGAAAGCCACTTTTACACAATTACTTTGACTCTGGAAGTTTGGAATTGCACAAAACGTCATTTGCCACATGTAAGTTAATTTAAAAGCAGAAATTATTTTTTGTGCTGGACATCAGTAATAATAATCCTTACATTTCATATAAAATGCCTTATCCCATTGAAATGGTTCAAAGAGTTTTTGCAAAGTGTAGTGACTATGTATTTGCTAGTGAACGTGGACCCAATTTGCACACAGCAATCTCACACAAACGGCTTTGCTGTTTTTTTTTATATTCTGAAGGATTGTTGGCCAGGACACTGGGAGAATCTCTCTTTTGTGTTTTGGATTGTGCCATGGCATCTTTTATGACTCCCTGAACATTGTCACACATTCCTACAAGCATCACTTGATTCACAATTGAAGCACATCCACAGCATCACAAAATCACAAGAGTATTTTGGATGAAGAAAGCTCTGAGGCCACCTGTTTTTATTCCTCCACAAGAACTATGCTTCCACCACATTATCAAGCCACATTTTAAGCAAGTCCAATGACCTAGCTTCAATTACTTTTTCAGCTAAAATCAGCTAAATAAACCCAGACTGGGATCGACACAACTCGAGACCATCTGGCCAGTCTGGTCTCGTCCTAAATCAGATTTGTTTTTTCCCACTAGGACATTGGAGTAGCTCAACAAAATGAGTTTAAAAACAAATTTGAAAAGGTTGTTTAAAAGGTGGATGTGCTTATCTCAGCGAATGTGAATTTCTGTACAGATGAGAACATAACCAAAGATTGAGGGGAAGCCACATTACAATAGCAATTTAAAGCCAAGCCCACTCTTCATTATCCTATTTATGACATATTATACTGTGCCTGTGGCATACAAAAGAAGCAAACACTATGCTTGGAAGTATTTCCTCTTTTCTCACATGTACAATAGACAATTGTTTCACTTACTGTGGGCTCTACAGTTTATCTGGAGAAAAAGGAAGTTTACTGTTAGTCTTGGTTTAACGGAAGTATGCCTTGGTTAAGAGTGTGAAAATTTTATAGAGAATGAGTATGCATCAAAACGTTAACAATGGTAGTTTTAGCACAGTGGGATGAAATTTGCAGTCCTTGTGACACTTCCAAATGATAAAGTACACAAAGCCAAGCCCACTTTCGACTTCCAGCTCATCTTTCTTTCAAGGGGCATTTCGAGCAAAGCATGTTTAATATTGTTCAAGCACTGATCGTGCGAACATCTTGCTTTGGTGGAGCTGTCAGCAAAAATCAACTTTCACACACCATATCACTACTGCTGGAAGAAAAGCAATTGTGTTCATGCCAGTTTAACAGCGGCACTAGTCTCTCTATCCTCTATGGCAAAGCCATACTGTTTCATGTCATCTGTGATCTATAGTATACAATGACATCCTCACTTATATATTTGTAAGCTCTTCCGAGTATCTAGTCTTGATCTTTGATCATACATTTACATTTATCTAAATTAGTTTTACTGATATGTTACCCAGTTTTAAAAGCAGAAATGTGTAATTGCACCAGCTGCCACCTTTATGCATTAGATTCCCCTTTGGTTTGAAAGAACACCACTTCCTTTAGTGAAGCGATTGTCAGTTCCTTCTTTGATGCTGCTAATATTCTTCCTGTGGTTACATT